TAAAAATTGTGATATAAAATGAGGCAACCTGCCTCTTAAACCAAAATCATGTAAATCCTTTAGAATGCCATGCTTCCAAGTAGTATCGTATGCTTTCTCAAGATCAAAGAAAACTGATACTACGTGTTGCTTATTTACAATAGCATTTTTAACAAAGGATTCTAATCGTACCAAATGGTCGATAGTACTTCGATTTTTTCGGAAACCACATTGAATATTGCTAAGAAGATTGTTGGTTTCCAAATACCATACTAATCTATTATTTACTATTCGTTCCATGGTTTTGCAAACACAACTGGTTAACCAAATAGGGCGGTAATTTGAGGGATCAGTATGATCCCGGCCAGGTTTTGGTATCGGTACCACAATGGCATTATGCCATGAAGGAGGAAAATTCCCTGATGTCCATATGTGGTCAAATATATCTAAAAGCGTCTCAAGACATGATTCGGGCAAATGCTTGAGTAACTGATAATGGATATTATCATCCCCTGCAGCAGTATCATGAGCTTGCTCAAGAGCATTATGTAGCTCATGCAATGAAAATACTTCATTGTAGTCTTCACCATTATTTGAATCGAAATTAACCTTTTTCTTTTCCTGTTGTTTCTGATATCTCTGAAACTCGGGAACATAATTTGATGATGAAGAATTTTTGGCAAGAGTCTCGCCAAGTTTATTTACAATGGCAGATTTATCAGTTGTTAATGTGTCACCGTCTTTAAGATGGTGTACAGACGATTTAGAACCTTTACCTTTTATTTTTTGAACCATGTTCCACACCTTGGACATGGGTGTGCGTGAATTAATTCTGGAGACATAATTCCTCCAAGATTGACGTTTATTATGTTTATAAGCACGTCGTGCCTTGGCACTAGTTATTTTAACAGTATTCAAGTTATGTACTGTAGGATGTTTACGGAAATATTTTTCCGCTTTCTTCCTACACTTTCTTGCTTGTTTGCATTCATTGGTAAACCATGGTTTACGAATGTGAGGATTTGCAGAGGACTTCGGAATTGTTTCGTCAGCAATGTCATTGAGTTGACTCGAAAACAACTGGATGGGATCTGGTACATTAGTGAAATGATCCGGTTTTAATTTTTCAGCACATAATGTTTCATACAAGGACCAATTTGCCTTTGTAAAATTCCACCGTGACGAAGGTGGGTCATCATTCGGTGTCATTGCTTGTAGGACAGTAGGAAAGTGATCACTTCCACAAAGGTCATCATGTACAGACCATTTGAACTCATTGTAAATATTTGAATCAGTGACGGACAGATCGAGTGCAGAGTAAGTTCCTGTGGCAGGATGTAAATAGGTGCTGGAATCGTCATTAAATAAACATAAATTATTATCAGATAGAAAATCCTCAATAACTTTCCCCTTATTGTTTGTAGTTGTACCTCCCCATAAAGGGTTGTGCCCATTTAAATCGCCCATGATGATGCACGGCTTAGGGAGCTGATCATACAAATGCTGAAGATCAGACAGTCGAAGTGTAGACGAAGGTGGAATATATAAAGAGCACAAAGTAAATGCAATGTGCAAGGTAAGGCGGATAGCAACAGCTTGAAGAGTTGTATTTAAAGGAACATCACTATGTATGATGTCATGTCTGACTAAAATAGTAGAGCCTCCAGTGGCTTTGTCACCCGGAGGAGAAAAAGAATGATGACAATTATACTGCCTCAGATCAAATGTATCCGTATGTTTAAGATATGTCTCTTGGAGACATATAGCTGACGGCTTAAAATCTTGAACTAGTACTTGTATCTCATTAAAATTCTTACGAAGTCCTCTGCAATTCCATTGTATAAAGTTTTGAGAGCAACTCATGGAGGCTCAATTGGAGAACGGGAACGGGGTGAAGGTCCCATACGCTGTAACGACAACGATGGAGACACTTCCATATCGAGAGGTTCAAAGGTGTTGTGAACCTCGACAGGGATTGTTGAAGGCGCCTTCAGATGTTTCAGGGTCCTTAATTCCTTTTTTTTTCATTTGTTTTCTCTCTTTCCTTGTTAAAAGGTGAGGTTCAAGCTCAGTCTCAGACTCAGGGTGTGGTTGAATCTCAGGCTTAGGCTGTGGTTCAGGTTCAGGCTCCAGAGAGGAAGGGGTGAATTGGCTATCAGTCTGAGTTTCAGACGACGACGTTAATTCCTCTGTAGTGGAACATAACATTGTCTGTTGATCCGAGACCCAGGAAATATCTGTTTGACAAGCATGATCAACAGTTTGCTTAGGAGAGGAGACTATGGCAGAGTAAGATCTGGATTGTAAACCGTTATGAGGTTGTTCCTTTACCAATTTCTTTGCATCAGAAAAGGAAATATTGTTTGTGTTTTTGATCTTTATTATCTTTGTTTCTCTTTCAAAGACTGGACAATGTTTGGAGGAGGACATGTGCTCACCGTTGCAGTTCGCACATCTGATGTCACCTGTGCAATCAGAGCTGTCATGATTCTTACTGCAACGGGAGCAGACTGCAGAGCCACGACAGGACTTGGCGCCATGACCAAACTGTTGGCACTTGAAACATCGCAGCGGATGTGGTATATACACATCCACGCCGATGTTAAAATAACCAGCTTTGATTGAGGTTGGGAGCCTCGAAAGAGCAAATGTAAATAAATAAGTGTTAGTGTTTACAACACTATCATGATCTTTTCGTGTAAAGCGTTTTACAGCTGTAACACCTTGAGACTTTAGTTCCTCAGCAATCTCCCCTTCTGACATGTCAGACAGGCATTTCGCTCGGTCGCGGACAATGCCCCTGCATGAATTCAAAGATTTATGGATAGATACTGTAACTGCAGTATTGGCAAAATGATGAGCATTCAACAAATTTATGGATTGTTGTCTCTTGGAGCATTCTATCAAGAGAGAACCAGATCGAAGACGAGTGACGTTTTGAACGTCACCACAAATTCCTTGAATAGCCTTTGAAACTACAAAAGGGTTGATCTTGAGAGGTAGACCATCAATGCCTTCAACAACTAGAAATCTTGGCCATGAGTCACTGTTGGTTGTAGAAGATTCATCATCAGAAGATGAAATATTATCTACGTCAACATGTCTTCTCTTGTTTTTGCTACGAGAACCAGTGTTTTGTGGGGTATCCATAATGAGAGAAAAAAGTTTCAACACCCCTGCTCCCCACCCACCATGGAGTGCTACAAAGAGCGATGTTTTCCTGCACCGGATCTCCAACATGCAAACATCAGGGATACAGAGGTGGTATACTCCAGTAAGAACAACATGAATAGCTGCATTTGTCTAACAAATAAAATGCCAGGCTGGTCCGGCCCATGACAAGAAATTTAAGACATACAGAACTCAGAGGTCGAAAGTACCAGATTGGCCCATGAGCCACCGCCTTCTGGCGTAAGACTCTAGGCAATTTATTCCATCAAAAATTGGTAATTCATACAAAGTATGCTTGGCCAAGTCCAAAATATACATTATAATACAACACAGGAGTGCATATACAATATTACGCACAGGGCCTGGCATGACCAGCCGATTGATAAGACCGGGCCCATCTTACCACCCGTCTAGGCGAAGTAAGGGTCGAAGTAGTGTGTTGGGCAAAGGAACACAGTTCCAGGAACCAGTGCCCTCAACTACCAGACTCCCGTCCTCCGCCGACACAGGGACGCAACCCACGGCAAACGGGCTGCCCACTTTGGTCGCCTCTTACGACCAGCAATGGGGTGCTGTGGAAATATTCTACCCCGGTTCCACACGGGGGAAGAGCGATTAGCGTTACCCAGCACTCACCACGAGGAGGTTGCTCTTCACGAGTGCCCAGTAACAGTAGAATATTTCCACCAAGTACGTTCACTTGATTTCGTCACATTCATATTGTTTTCTTTTAAGAGGCGACTAACGGGATCGGGTGGTCAGATCGATGCTCGTGATTATTGGATTATTTACAGTCCGCCGTCATATATTTTATAGCTGGAATATTGCTGAGTGCGGCGTTAAACAACAAACAAACACTCACTTATGAGAAATAGAGATTCTCCAATGACACAACTAAAGCCCCGGGTTGAAAGAAAACAATATGAATTGGACAAAACCAAGTGAACGTACTTGGTGGAAATATTCTCCTGTTATTGAGAACTGACATCAGAATACGAAAGATGATATAAAAAGGTACAATATATGCAGAAGGAAATTATAAACTTCTTTGAAGGCACGATCGCGATGTCAATTGGCTATCAATAAACGCAATTATTTCTCCGTTTCAGTGTTCCGTGATTATAAGATCGGCGACCTCATAAAACGTGAGTACATGTATGGTAAAATTCCGCCTGTCTCTAATCCTTCTATTTCATGCTTGCCCAGCGATTGTCGACAAGTAACTGCCATTGTGTCAAGCTCTTTGTCCATAAGTGTCAAATTTGATATCAAGGAGGAAAAATTCTCTTAGCGTCCCCGGCACCAGTAAGGACTCAGAAACGGTTTATTTACACAGGCGCACCCGGTACGAGGCAACAAAAACGAGAACAAAGGAGTACCGCTCACTAATGTCCTTACCGTATTAATGCCTTAAAGTTAAAGGTGTAAAATATGAATATCATATCAATGTTCAGGCCCGGCTATGAATTTCCGAGAAGTTTGATTTTTAATTAATGCACTAATAAATGAAAAGTTAAAAATGAACATATATATTGAATACTGCTATCCCAGGAAAATCCGGGTTAGAAAAGGTCTTCAGCAACCCATGCTTGACGTAAAAGGCGACTATGCTTGTCGTAAAAGGCGACTAACGGGATCGGGTGGTCAGGCTCGCTGACTTAGTTGATGCATGCCAGTTTATCCCAATTGCGTTGATCGATGCTTATGATGTCAATCACTGGATTGTCTGGTCCAGACTCGATTATTTACAGACCGCCGTCATATAGCTGGAATATTGCTGAGTATAAAATGATGTTGGTTTTTTTCATCATGAGTCCTTGTTTATCTGGTTTTTTGTTTTATGGTTTCATTGTTACAAGGAATGACTGACGAGGAAATTTCACCTAGTATGTAAATAATACAAACCACAAAACAATATTTCGATCAGAATTATTCTCAGGATGACCTGGATGTACCATATGTCTATGACAGCTCAACCATTCATTGATGGAAAAATGAATATCTAAATTTGTTTTCTTTGTTGATGTTTTCATGTATGTTATCATGGGGATTTTAGAACAACACAACTGTAATTTAGACATATGTAATGATATGTCTGATACCCTTTAATGACAAACTAAACATGAATATGACACATCAGTGAGTGAGTAAGTTAAAAAAGCATCGGCAATATCGCGATGAGAACAAGATAATACTTTCTAAATTGCTGTCAACAAAGGACAATCAAATGGTTGTTTGTATTTTGTTGTTTAACGCCGCACTCAGCAATATTCCAGCTATATGACGGCGGTGGGTAAATAATCGAGTCTGGACCAGCCAATCCAGTGATTAATATCATGAGCATCGCTCACGCAATTCGGATCGATCACATGCGTCAACCAAGTCAGAGAGCCTGAACTCCCGATCCCGTTAGTCGCCCTTTACAACAAGCATAGTCACCTTTTACGGCAAGCATGGGTTGCTAAAGACCAATTCTACCCCGGATCTTTAAGGGGCGACAAATTAGTAGTGATAATATCACAATTGAAGTATAAAACAAACCAGATCAAATTTAAATGGCGACTTTCATTACTTTCGCTTTCTGCAGGACTCCCAGCAGATTTATGCCATCACTTTTGACACCAGCGGCTGTACGTTATGCCAGCCAATAATAAAAAGACAAAACATATGCCACTGGCAGGCGGCACATCGAGTTGAAGCTTTCAAAGATATCTAAATACAAATCTCCACCCTTCACATAATGTTCTTGACCCGTGAAGATTCTGGGGTAGAAAAGGTCTTCAGCAACCCATGCTTGCCGTCAATTATTTACAGACCGCTGTCATTTAGCTGGAATATTGCTGAGTGCGGCGTACAACAACAAACCAACCAAACCAACCAACATAATTGTCTTACTCATAACCAATGCTCGTCGTAAAAGGCGACTATGCTTGTTGAAAGAGGCTACTAACGCGATCGGGTGGTCAGACTTGCTGACTTGGTTGATGTATTTCATCGTATCCTAATTGCGTGGATCGATTCTCATGATGTCAATCTCTGTATTGTCTGGTCTAGACTTGAATATTAACAGACGGCCATCATACAGTTGGAATATTGATGGCTGCGACGCTAAACAACAAACAAACAAACAAATCCTTGCTGTCACAACATTCCTGTTACATTTTCAGATGTCAAATAACCTGATAACAATCAATTGAAGTCATTGTTCTGCAGACAGTGTTCAGAGTTTAATTGTGTGTACCCTAGATCTTAAAAAAGCATTCCTCTCTTTTTTTGTTTTCCAGTTACTACGTTCACGAAACCATGGGGCATTGTGACATGTAGGTACCACTGAAGAAATAGAAATTATTCCAGTGTTTAAACATGAACCATTCTATGAAGAAATGTATTACTTGGCTCGCTATTTAATTTGCTTCCATGAGATAAACGATTCAGAGGTGACAGGCATGTACACAAAGCTGTGTGTAATGTAAAATGAATACAAATGATATTTATTAACAAGCATCACGTATGGGTAAGGTAACGCTCTTAACATGAACTGTCATTCAGTTTGAAGTTAGTTCTGAAAACATTCTCACATTGAGAAATGACTCGACGTCTGATGACTATTCTTAGTGTCACCAAGTGTCCCCCTCAACCTAGTCTAGGGTCAAAGCGTTTACTCGTCACGCCGAGGACCCAGGTTCGATTCCAAACATGGGTACAATGTGTGAAGCCCATTTCTGGTGTCCCTCGCCGTGATATTGCTGGAATATTGTTCAAAGCGGCTTAAAACCAAACTGACTCACTCACTCAACCATATGTCCTTACACCTACAACGTCATCAGCTTCCTCTGTACTAATAAGATGTTTGTCATAATTGCTAGGGAAACTTAATCATACGATATTCCTTACAATAATCGGTGCATCCCACTGGAAAAAAACCCATTTGAACTACGATTTGTGAATTTCAGGGGATGTCACAGAAACTGAACTGTATTTGATTAGGGGGAAACATATTTTGTTTCGATTCTAGTTTATTTCAAGGTAATACTACTGAGTGAATTAATGTATGTGTCATTCTATGGGTGTATTTTTGTCTTACAGATGTTCAAGGCCTAAATCAGGCAGATCGAAAAACACGTAAGTGAACGACAAAAAGCTGTGTCCAAACGTCACCTCATCTGATATATCTGCGGACATTACGACTCAATCCACATTAATGTACTTTAAGCATAATACTCATACTTATGACCCTTTTTAAAAGGTACTTAGTGTTATAATTAAGGAATTGGTTGAAACTTTTTCTAAAGACATTGAAAAGGGCAAGCTAAAACGATACGTATTTGCATTTCTTATTAATGTTATTTATTTAATCTACATTCGTTATTTTTACAGTTCTTTCACTTGACTTACCAACTAATAATGATACTGTTCGTTCGGATGAAGAGGGTATGTATGAATCGATTTGTTGTCTTTGTGCCCCCCAATAACTATCATAAGTTACATGATCAGCTATTGTAATGAAGACCACACAGAAAAATACCTACATTTTGATTAAGCTGAACTGTTTATTACAACGTTTCTCAGTTATGTATTTCCCGCAACAAAAAGTATAACATGTTGGATTGTTTTAATGTCAGATATGCGACTTTTTCAGTGAAATATAGAAAAAAACATAATTATTTATGGAGTAGCATCCATTGACATCTGATAAATTGTAGAAAGGCAAATAAGAAAGTTTCATCTTATTAACATTGACATCTCTAGGTCCCAAATTTGTTTGTTTGTTGTTTAACGCCGCACTAAGCAATATTCCAGCTATATGACGGCAGTATGTAAAGTTACGCACTTGGGATCGATTGCATGCAGCAACCAAGTCACCGATGCCCTTACTCGCCTCTTACGACAAGCATAGTCGCAAATTTCTGCTTTTGTTAGTCATGAATAGATCATTCCGTGTTTATTGTATTGAAGTGACTGGAAATAATGAAATATCTATAAGCAGCCAATGTTTTAACAGCATGGTAATAATTTTACGAGACAATATTTATCCTTTCGTTGGATGATGGCACTAACACATATTTCTTTTACTCATTTTGAATTTTTTACAACTAACTAATTTCTTTAACGTACAATTCATCCATGACTGTACGCCAGTTTATGTCCGTTTTGTCGATTCAAAATGAAGTTCTAATATGCTGTGATGTCTTTTTAAAAGAATTGAATTTTTTTAAGAATTACAAGAAAGCAAGAAAACCCTTAAAGGTAGGTACATAAAGGTTAAAAAGGGTGGATGGTTACAACTGTGGAATTTTAACATGACCAAGGTGAACAAATGATGTTGAATTTCAGCTGCCATGATTATGATGAAAGGGACAGCACGACAACCATTGAGTTGGTTGGTTGGTTGGTTGGTTGGTTGGTTGGTTTGTTTGTTTGCGCCGCACTCGGCAATTTTCCAGCTATATGACGGCGGTCTGTAAATAATCGAGTCTGGACCAGACGATCCAGTGATTGATATCATGAGCATCAATCGACACACTAGGGATCGATGACATGCTTCAACCAAGTCAGCGAGCCTGACCACCCGATCCCGTTTGTCACCTCTTACGGCAAGCATAGTCGCCTTTTTAAGGCAAGCATGGGTTTACGGCGATAACCATTGAGAAACCTAACCTAGGTACGAATTTCTTTCGAACGAAAAGTAATAAAACTTTAGAATTCACTGATCATTTGCTTAAACTCTACAACACTCGTTTGCTTGACCATTATTCCACTATGTAGCCATAATTCACTTTGACTGACGTGAAAAAAAATCTTATTGTACTTATATAGATATATACATACGACAATATAGTATGACCGTGATGTGAACAAAATTATTATTGTAATATATACATTTATGATGTCAATTTCTTTGTTATGGGCAACATAAAGTTTCGGAGTATATGCTTACTCCTTCATCAGCTTCTGTAATATTGTTTTAATGTCACAACATTGTGGACACAAGCCATGGAAGCCATTCTGTCAAGACTTGCTGAAACGAAGTATATTTGAAAAGCCTTGATCTGTTTGAATACATAGTACCTCCAAAGTGGCGTAATATAGTATAACTGTGATGTAAAAAAATTATTATTGTAATATATACACATCAGTGTTCTGTCTAAAAATTAAACCACATTGCTTTATTCCTGGCTTAACTGTATTTTGTTTTATGGTTTCAGTGCTTCGAGGCTTGGCTCCCGAGGACCGTACAATAAGTATGTCATAAATGACACCAACCACAAAACAATATTTCGATCACAATTATACTCCCAATGACCTGGAAGTACCATATGTCCATGACTGTTCAACCTTTCATCGATGTAAAATTGAATATTTTCACTTGTTTGCTTTCATAATTCTTTCATATACGTCACTATGGGGGATTAGAGAACACACCTGTAATTTGGACATATGTAATGATATGTCTGATAGCCGCTGAGGACTAAGTAAACATGTATTTGACACATCAAGTTGAGGCTTACAGATATGTATCAAATCTTTTACAGCATATCTAAATACAAATCCCCTCCCTTCACATTATGTACGTACTCCTACGTTGGGAAAGTATCGTGCCACACCCGGTGCCTCTTAATGAATGTTACAAAACAACAAAACAAATAAAATGAATTGTTTAATACACTACATTCTCCTTTCAGTTCTTGCAGCCTTTGATCTCACAGAGTTCCTCAGAGGTACGTATTGTGAGGCAACGCAAACACATCGCTTGATATGTGACGCCAATGTTTATGTTAGTGTTTCTGATGTGAGCCAATGGTTGCAGACCGTCGTCTGCATACATCGTACATTAGGATATTAGAGTGAGTGAGTTAGTTTGGTCTTACGCCGCTTTTAGCAATATTCCAGCAATATCGCAGCGGGGGACACCAGAAATGGGCTTCACACATTGTAGCCATGTCGGGAATGGAAACTGGATCTTCGGCGTGACGAGCGATCGCTTTAACCACTAGGCTACACGACCGCCCATTAGGATATTATAGAGCATATACCTAACAGCGTGTCCAGAGAAACTCATTGGATTTGAGTGCTTTGTACGGGTCTTCAGGGGTCTTCTCAGACATAAACCACTTTCCCACGTGACAAACTTTAGGAATGACTTCCTTCAAACTTGTCACTAAACGTTGTGACTATAGATATAGTTACATCTCTATCGTCAAGGTTCCGGACAATTAGTCAAAGACGAATGCAACTGTCATCTGAAGTTAATTGTGTGTTTCAGTTCTTATCGTAGGAGGAGCCCAAGTCAGCAAGAGTGACCGTGAGTATGCTTGATTGTTGTTTGTTTGTTTTTCTAACGCCATACTTAGCAATATTCCAGTTATATGACGGCGGTCTGTAAATAATCAAGTCTGGGCCAGACAATCCAGTGATTGACATCATGCACATCGATCCACGCAATTGGTATACGATGACATACATCAACAAGTCAGTGACTCTGAACATCCGATCCTGTTGTCGCCTATTATGACAAGCATAGTCGCCTTTTACGCCAAGCATGGCTTTTTGAAGACCTACACGAGACCCGGATCTTCACGGGTCTCGTGAGTGTGAAGACATTATGAAGTCGAATAGTGACGTTTTAGGTTCGAACTACTCCTAAAATAACAGAACACTATCAATTTATGCCCATCAATGTATAAAGGTTCGCGAGAGGTATCAGTGAGGCCTTCACAGTTATGTTTGCAGCGTTTCAATGCCTGTGTTTGTTTCTAAGAACACAATTTCATACATTAGAACTTGACACCTGTCATGTTTTGGAGACACATTTCGTCATCGGGGGAATCATTTTCATGTGACGAACATATGGTGCTGTCACGTTTGCATGTCATACCCATGTTTGCAAATGTATGATGAGGTATATACCTGTAATAATGAGAACCAGGAAACTCATAATTAAGGGATGTATGAGTTTAGGTTATATGTTTAAAAGTCTTCCTTATTCTTCATATGAAGGGGTATTATAAACCGAAGCATGACTTTGACTCTGATTATAAAATCTTCTGATTCGGATTGATGGGCAACAATATTTCTCTCTTTCAGTACCAGGAATATTCAAAGGAGTGTTAACAGGTACGAACTAGCAACGAATGAGTGAGTGAGTGAGTGAGTTTGGTTTTACGCCGCTTTTAGCAATATTCCAGCAATATCCGGGTGGGGGACAAAGGGAAATGGGCTTCACACATTGTACCCACGTCGGGAATCGAACCAGAGTCTTCGGCGTGACGAGCTAACGCTTTAACCACTAGGCTACCCGACCGGACCAGCAAAGAATGAAAGTAGGTAGGCAGAGAAGATGGACAAGAAGTATTTGAAAATGTTGTAAAGACGAGACAGAGTAGGAACTTCATGTGTTTTTCAATGTTTGGTCCTGTCATAGATTGGGGGCGGTCGGGTAGTCTAGTGGTTAAAGCGTTCGCTCATTGCTTTGAAGACACGGGGTCGATTCCCGACATGGGTACAATGTGTGAAGCCCATTATCGGTGTTCCCCGCCGTGACATTGCTGGAATATTGCTAAAAGCGGCGCAAAACCATACTCACTCACTCACTCACTGTCATAGATCGTCAGCTTGATAATAGAGGAAAGGCAAAATCATAAGACTCCAGTTAAGATTAAACATCAGTTTTATGTTAAAAATAATTTTGTGTAAAAGAATTTGTATTTCAACACTTTCAAAACGCATAACCTTAATTAAGATTTTATGGCAGTCACTTGATACACTGTTCAATATGACTTTTTGATAACATTTTCTATTTTGCACAATTCTATTTGAATTGACCTATTTGAAATCTAGTAACTTAACATGAATTTCTCAATGAATTATAGGAATGACTATTATACACATACAGAACATTGTCTGGTTGTTATGTGTATAGAAGATGGCAGCGAGACAATACTGACAATAGTCATTGAGGAATGTCTTTGAACAAATTAGTTATATATTGATAAATCCATCCATGTTTTAATTAGAGACACTAATACAGTATTGTTACTTTATTACTTCTTTCAGTTTTTGGTGAAGACAACAAACAAGGTACGTCCACATGCAGCAATCAAAATATTATCTGGAAACAAGGGAATGTTTTAAACCCTGATTATCCCATGGATTTGGTACGGGGGCATTGATGTCCAACTATATAATTTTCATAAAATATTTCATTTCATTGACAGGTGAGTACGTTGACAAAATAACAAGTATGTACAAGGCAACTACACGTGACCTCTTTGAGTATCAGGTTTAGAGTAACTAACAACACTAAGTAGAGAAATAATGTCCAATCATTCATCAGAGAATACAAACATGAAACTTCACACACATCCTATACTGGCAAATTATAAGCCTTTTCCACTGATGATGCAAATTAAACATTGTGAACAGTCTAGATCCAACTCTATACTGACATTAATGTGATGTATAATCAACAAATCATCTTTTCCATATATTAACTAATAGAAGTATATTATTTTAAGTGGTGTGATGTGAGTGATGATTTACAGTCACATCGACATTATTTCAGCCATATCATGATTTATTTAAGTGCCCTTTGGATTGCTAACTTACAAAATGCTGCAATATTCACACTGTACATTTGTTTTTTTATATAGAAGCCTTAATTGATAAATACCATGCATTTTCAGTCGTTTCCATTCAATTTACTTTTGAAATTCCTGAGCTATGGAAAATTCACTGTCATGAAGTAATTACGCAAAGATATTCATTGAAATACGATATATGTTTTTTGATATATGTTTATTTCATTTTCATTCCATGCTTGATAAATGTCATACTAACGGTGTCAAAAAGCTCTCATGAAGACAAATTCATTTAACCGTTCAATAACATTATTAAATGGTGTGAAACGATGAAGACTGTATAACAAATATATGTACATGTATATAACAATTAAACACTGAAAAAAGGACATTAAACTGATTCTTATTTTGCATTCAATAAGTCTATTGCCTTATGTGTGAAACAATTGAGCTGACGAGGTCTTCACCGTCAGCAGCCTTAGCACAAACAGTTACCTTCTGACGACAGTATAGTCCGTTCAAGTATTTAACCTGTTTGTTTTTTAAAGATTTAAATAATTACATCATTGTGCACAACTTACTAACTTTATATATGAATCAGTTTGTATGATTAACATGGTATTGTACATTTTACATACCAGAACAGGGGCGGTCAGGTAGCCTAGTAGTTAAAGCGTTCGCTCGTCACCCCGAAGACCCGGGTTCGATTCCCGACATGGGTACAATGTGTGAAGCCCATTTCTGGTGTCCCCCGCCGTGATATTGCTAAAAGCGGCCTTAAACCATACCATTCACATACCAGAACAAAATGTTTAAAATTTAGATAACACTCATTCATTCTTTTCTTCAGCCTTTCAAGGACCCGTCTTCCGACAGATAATAGAAATGCGAGGTATGGTATTATTACAATATGTAACATGTCAAAGTATCGATCGTTATAGGCAAAACTTCATTGAAACTTCTGCATCTCGAATGTTCCTGTGATTGAAGCTATATGACGCCGTCTGTTAATAACCAGACAATCCAGTGATTGACATCAAGAGCATTGCTCCACGCTAATTGGGATACGATGACGTTCATCAAACAAGTCAGCGAGCCTGAACATCCAAGCATAGTCGCCATTTACGGCACGCATAGGTTGCTGAAGATCTATTGCTGGTCGTGTCAATCAACAGGGTGTGTGGCCTCCGATAGCTGCGATAGCCGCTTATTTCCCTCTCAATGAGTTGACAAGTCTTGGAAAGGAGGCTTGGGAATTCCTTACCATTCCAGCACCAAAAATGCTTCCATTTCCTAAGTGTATGTGACTGTCTTGTAGCCTGAAGACGTCTTCCAGTCTCGTTCAAGTTATGCTCAGTTGACGCCATATGCAGTGACACAGGCGGCCATGACTTCACGCTTGTTGGTTGTTTGTTTGTTTGTTTGTTTGTTGTTTGACGCTGCACTCAGTATTATTCCAGCTATATGGAATATTGCTGAGTGCAGCTTTAACAACCAACCAACCAAACCAATGTTAACATAGAACAGTGATCCTTCAATGCGTTAATTAATATATATATACATAATATAACATATATACAAAGTGATATATAGAATTATTCGTGTGTAGTGCATCTCTACATGAAACGTGTTTCTCATATGTTTCAAAATCGTGATAGCCACATATGAAGTGTGTGAGTGAGATTGGTTTAACGCCCCTTTTAACAGTATTCCTGTTATATCACCGTGTGTCAGTTTATTGTGATAGGAAAACCCTGAGATGTAGGTGCCAGGGGTTTACCACATGATGATATTGTGCTGACAAACAGAAACATAATCAGGGTGACCCACAGGAAGCAACTCAACATAGAAAATTGCGGCGTTTAAGACAACTGGGCCACCCATGCCCACAGTGTTTACTGTGACTTCATACAAGAAAAGTGCTAGCTGCAGCTAGAAAGGACTGTATAGATCCCCAATAGATAGGCCTAGCCTTTAGGTTTGCACTTTACAGGAGAGTATCGTCATTCGAAACTGTCACGGCTACTTCTAGAGCTAATGAAGCTTTTGACTATGTTTGAAACTTCAATGGAATCATATAATAATGCAAAGGAAATTAGCCTTGACTCTCAACGGAAAACATTGTACGACGTATGCTATACGATTACCACTTGTGTCTTTCTCCCAATCAACAAATGAAGATCCGATGAGAATAGGTCAGCAGCCCATGCTTGTCGTAAGAGACGACTAACGGCATGGGGTGTTCAGGCTCGCAGGCATGATCGATGCATGTAATCATATCTCTATTGCGTAGATCGATGCTCATTATGTCAATCTCTGAATTGCCTGGTCCTGACTTCATTTTGTACAGACCACTGTCATGTAGCTGGAATATTTCTGTGTGCAGCGTTAAACAACAAACAATCAAACAAACAAACTTTCTCCCAATCACAATTAAATATTGTCTTTTCTCTTTCAGTTCGAAAGCCAAGGGCATGAACGTGAAATAGACAACAGCGGAAATACAAAGTACAACGACTAAGCAAATTCATCTTTCCTATTCACACGTATCATTGGACTTCCCATTTAAATTATTTTTTTCGAATTTGTACTTGAAAAAAAAAGATATTAATTTGCCAATGCATTTACACACACTTTAACGTTCTATATCTCTGAGTGTATGCATTTTCAGTTGATAGTTGTTGGGCTATTTGCGAGTAAGTTTGATGTGTGATCCAAAGTGTGTGATCCAATGCTCTTACACATGGCGTGTCTTGAATGTGATATTTGGTCTGCTCTTTTTCAGGACAAAAGATCCAACTGAACACAAGAGTAGCCTGATGTGATGTCGTTGGAAGTGTCCTTGGAAATTGACAATAGTAAATGTCTTGAAGGCCTGAACTAAACACGTTTTCTCTTGTGCTTTTTTGTCGCTGCAGAAGGCTTTCAGCCCATATATCTATTCAAATACTAAAACAGTGTCTCCTACTCCCATACCTTGGTATATGGAAACATAGAACATCTGATATTAAAGGTCGGATGACATGAGTCATGGGTTCTATGTGTGATGTACATGTATGTCAGCGGTATATACTGTAGATCTGTATATCTTCCGATTTTGGATCGATGACAAGCTTCAACCATGTCAGCAAGCCTGACCATCCGATCCCGTTAGTCACCTCTTGCGACAAGCATATGTAGGGTTAGGACTTGCGCATTATATATCGTGTACTGATATAAGAGCAACATTTAACGCTATGTAAACTACACTATATGCACACAACGGGTATAGAATGCGTATGCTCAGGTTGAATCAAAACACAAGATTCGCAGTGATGACAGTCAATCTCGAAATGAATAAGGCCATTTTTTACGTTCAGAAGAATGCCTATTGCAAGACCATAACAGATATGTACAAATAACATTTAATCAAAGAACAAGGAAATAATAGATAAACGAATATAGTTTCTGCTTTTGCTGTGTAAATGATAATTGTTACCCGTGTGAAATACCTCATGTGTGAATGAAGATATTTTAGAGTGGTATCAATAAAAAATAGCGACAAAACCCTTAAAAAACCCGTAAAAAAAACAATGGTAAATATTCTTTGAATGACATGGACAATAACTCTACACTACTACCACCCCCCATGAAGGCTCAGCCATTATCAATCATAATAATCATAGTCAATAAGCATAAGCTCCAAATTTTTAAAAAGTATGTACATAAAACTTTATCAAACTATTCCATTAAGAAAACGACACTAACGTAATGAGAGCTAATGTCATTAATAAGATCCTTTTTGGAGGAAATTTTCAAATTTTTCCCCCTTTTGATTGAAAAACCAAGACAGACAAGCAGGACATGCTTCACCGTGATTCTTTAATCAATGAGAATGGAGGACCCTCACCTTTCAATAACTATGCATGTGTATATCTACTATGGCCAACGCAGCATCGTGGCATTATGATATCTCTAATGTAACATCTAATCACAGGTTTGATATTAATGCATGGGATAAGAAGTGGTGTCACAGATTTGCGCCGTGCGTAAATACGACCTTTTAGCGCTGTAAGAAGTATAAAGAATTCAGCTTTTTGTACCAATACCTTTTATACTTGACTTGGCAATACCTGAAGGCTGAATGCAAATATGAACGTCACGCCAATACCTTGACAAAATATGTAAACAATATAAATTTATATACTCTTCAAAAAATGAAACGCAATACGGATATCTGTGGCAATACAAGCAAAATGAGGGCTCCAAGAGATGCACAATGAAGAGGTTAATGTGTTATAGTGTCAGTGACAAATGTCCCGGATCAAAATGATCACAACAAGGACATGCAAACCATCAGCCGGGAAACACGTAGGATTCGCCAGGTGTAACCACTGCACCTCCACCCAAGATCGCTACATCCGACTGCACCACCTGCGTGAAAGGACGATCTTAGCCACCTCAACCTCACTTTCCGATTCATACGAGGTTCGAAAAGTCCGAAGCATAAAAAACAAAACCAACAATTGTGAAAGCGTTTTTTTAAACAAAATTTCCACATAATCTCCCTGCTTTTCAATATCGTTAATGAACCTTTTTAACTCAATATGTTTTTTTGATAGTATTTGCTATTTTGCACAATTCTATTTGAATTAACATAATTGAAATCCAGTAACTTGCACGAAGAAAAGACATAAATTCTTCAAAGAATTATAGGAACGACTATTATACACATACAGAATATTGTCTTCTTGTTATGTGTACAGAAGATGGCGAGATAATATTGGCTCATTTAGTGCTCATGTGTGTGGCGTTAAGCAACAGACCAACCGTCATTTTCAATACACTTCTTATGTCGTTAGTGAAGCTATTCTGTTCCGATCAGAAAGACGTTTTCTGAAGCCATCCTGAAAAAAACCATTTGCGGCTGCTTTCAGATCATCGTTGTCGTCAACGCGCTTTCCACGAAGGTGTCCTCTCAGTTTAGGAAACATTTGGAAGTCACTTGGTGCGAGGAAAGTCGAGCATGGAGGGTGAAGAAGCTAATAAACAAACGCCCTCAACGGACCAATATTACACTTGCAAGGAAATACTCAAACAATGTACTACATTGACAAGTTCACTTTGTTATAGACAACACTTGAAAGTTAGTCCAGTTTAGAACTTTTTGACCAGCCCTCATAATGTAGATCATGTTTCGCTAGTTCAAAAATGAATCGTGTTCTTCAGATCAACTTGGTTACATTCGCCAGCATAACTGGTTTGGATGACCAAACTGGAGGACATTAATTGTCCCCCAGTATTTAACCAATGTATGTCGTAAGGTGGACCAAATGAATTGGTGACTTGGCTGAATGCGTGTGATCCTGTCCGACGGCGTGGGACGTTGATCATAATATAAGGATGTGGTTTGTCTGGTCTGGAGTCGATTATTTAAGCTCTCTGTCATGCAAATATTGCTGAATGTGTCATGAAAGCAATGTCACGAACTATTTAATTTTGTAAATACTCTGAAAATCTTGAACAATCTCCTTCAGATCTTAGATAAGATAACAATAGCATAAGCGGGGTTTGGTTTGTCTCTCGGTAATTTCATCAAACTGAATATAACCTGTTTAACCCATAAATGTATTAAAACACACATATGGTTTCCATTTACTCCTATTTTTATCGCTACTTCAGATCGACTGTAAAACCCAGGCTGAGTGAAAGTTGTCGGGGCGCTGATCCCCCAAACAAAGTGGCAACACGTGTTCAGAGAAGATACTCCAGCATTTTAAATTATATCTAAGTTTAATAACAAATGCATATCACATATCCCATTGAGTCAAGAATAACTATTTTAATACATTCTAGGTGGGGCCTGTTGGATTAGAAATAGTGTCTATGCAAATATTTTAATTATATTTATCATGTGTTTTCTCGCGCCCTATTAGTTTATTGCTGAAATATTGCCCGAATAGTTTATTAAATTCACTAATTATTAATTGGTATAAATGTTTTAATACATTCTGGGTGCAACCTATTGGATAAGAAATAGAAATGTGTTGTTAATGATAAACTTGTCAAACCTAAATTAAGCAATAATCACCGATCCTGTCCTGGCTTATCTTGTTTATTTGGCTTCATGTCCCATCGGCTTCCACCTATGTGTTCTCTGTCCATCGTGTTGTGACAGTATTATTCTTCTCTTGTCATCACTTACTCATGTTATCCCACTCATGTATGCAATTGTTGTTACTGTTAATCCTCTACTGTTAATCCTCCACCTACTATCTATATTCCGTACAATGTCCCTTATTCAGTCTTGCTTGTCAACGATATAAGGTATAAGGATCTATACCGAAACGTCGCTTTTTACAGTATTAAAATATTTGTTATCTATAAAATTGTGTCTACCTTGTAAACTTAAGTGTCTATGAAAATATGGTCAAGAATAAATATTGTTTATACATTCTGGGTGGAACTGTTGAATAAGAAATAGTGTCCATGCAAATATGTAAAATATTCATCATGTGTTTTCTCGCGCCCTAATATTTGATTAAATTCACTGATTATTACTTGTTATAAATGTTTTAATACATTCTGGGTGCGACCTAGTGGATTAGAAATAGAAAGTTGTAGCTAATGATAAACTTGTCAAACTCTAGTGTCTCTGCAAATATGGTAAGGAATATTCATCATGTGTTTTCTAGCGTCCGAATAGTTTATTAAATTCACTAATTATGACTATCTACTTACCTGATGCAGTGCACGTGGGTGCGGCAGTTTCGATTATGCACTCCCCTTAAAAGGAAAAGCATTGGTGATAGTAATATTTCCTAAAATAATTTTCGTTAAAATGCTACATGAAAATAAGTCTACACGTACCATTTTACTGATGAAGTGTCACAAGAACGTTTTTTTGTCTTAATATCGAGTTTTTATATTGAGTTAATATTGATGACCTGGGACATTTCATCGCCCTTTCTTGAGAAGTTGAACAGCTGTGGAATTTGTCCCGGGTGTTTAGGCATGTTTACGACACATTGTTTTGAACAAACCATACATTCATACCATGACTCGATATAAACGCAATAAATAACGCTATTAATTCAACGTTTTCCTTCTCTGTTCCTGTGAAAAACGTCTGTTTCGTTTTGTGATATTCAAAACATCTCAAAATGATTCGGTTGAAAGCTACAGACCTTACTTTTGTTGGACAGTTTATATTGACTTGTCATTTGGTTTTACAATAAGCATGATATACATTTGATTTGTTCTTGGTATTAAAATGTTATCATTTGATATGGGCTGTACCCTGAACGCATTTCCATAAAGCTGTGTACGATTAAACATGACAAAAGCAACCTGATATTTCATTTTCTATTTCTAGCCTACAAATTAGAATCGTAAAATACAGAAATGTTATCATTTTTTGATGAAATGAATGTCTGTTCTAATTGGTTGCGTATTTAAGTCGATGAATATTCCCTGCAACCCAAATCTTCATTGTGATCTTCCACTTGAAGCACGCTGTCATGGAATCACTGGTCCTCTTAGTTCTTGGTAAGTTGTTATTTTTATTTCGCTTTATTGCATATGAGTTCTCTGCATAGTCATACTACAGGTGCGGACTGTACTGCGGTCATCAACAGTGAAGGCATTTATACTAAACATTATGATAATGGTACTTACATGTGCATACCTGTCAAAGTTTACTACGTCCAAACCAAACAGAAGAGACGATAATATGATGGATGTTTAGGTCCAATAGATCATTAGAAGCAGATCAAAACCGGAAACAACGCAGCTCAGATCAACCATGGATGCATATTGTTCTTGATACGTGCTGGTCACGACTGATGATATATTAGACCAATAGTGACATCAGCAAGGCATATTTCATTCAACAGTACTTAACAAATTTATTTCAGTTCTCGGCGTTGTGGGTGCAGATGTGAATTCAGACCGTATGTACAAACTCATTATTTGATATTTGATATTTGATATTAAAAGGTGACTATGCTTGTCGTAAAAGGCGACTAACGGGATTGGGTGGTCATGCTTGCTGACTTGGTTGATGCATGTCATCGATCCCAATTGCGTGGATGCTCATGATATCAATCACTGGGTTGTCTGGTCCAGACTCGATTATTTACAGACCGCCGTCATTTAGCTGGAATATTGTTGAGTTCGGCGTAAAACAAGAAACCAACCAACCAACAATTATTTGAACAAAGACGTTAATATGACGTGTAGGTCCGATAGATCATTGTAGAAGCAGATCAAAACCGGATACAACGCTGCTCAGAATACCCATGGATGCATATTGTTCTTGATACGTCTATATAACAGGTTTTCATCGAATATTCTTTAAATGCAATGATGAACACACTTAACTGAATGTTTTCCTATTGAACAGTTAACTAATTACTAATTACATCCAACATTTCAAGTATAAAAGCTTTGTTGTACACATGTTTGAAATATATTATCGTGTATTTGTCAGAATATTTGTTGCAGAGATCACTATGAAATACGACTATAAAAAAAGTATAAGATGACTATATGTTGTCAGTGTTTCACGTGGCATTGAATAGTGCAAATGCAACATTTGTAACCTCTTGCTGTGCATTTGGTTTCAGTGACATCAAATATACAAGTAACATTGCTATATATCGATAATATGGTGTGGTTATCTTTTCATTCTCTTCACAATGTCCTGGTCACGACTTGTAATATATTTGACCAATAGTGACACCAGCATGGAATATTTCATTTAACAGTACTTAACAAATTTATTTCAGTTCTCGGTGCCGATACAATTGGTGGAGTGACATATGATCGTATGTACAAACTTAATAATATTTAAAATATACGTTATAGTTATAAGTTCAATATTGATCAGGACTAGTAATTCTTCACAGCACATGTAGTTATGATCATTATTGTTAGGATTTCCTAATAACATCGTTCTAACTATTCTGTAGTAGGCTCGAGTTGTTGCCCTTGGGAGTCCAGAGCCGCGTCGATCATCGATCGTCGATCCTCGATCAACATACTATCTCTGTTGCTATCGGATCCACAGTCTGCTGACGACAGATTGAAAAACATGCAACATTTGGGGAACAGTATACTGACGAGTGCCCTCTTTCAGCACGTTGCAAACGTTGCGTGATCAATGCTGTTGCTTACTTGATTATCAGATTAATAATAAAGTGTCTTTGCGCGTTTGGTTCCTAGAACAACCGAGTCTGAGTGACACAATGTTGTATTTGTGTTTGATTTCTTCGGAAATGGTTTTGCCACATAAATCAAAACTTTCATTGACAAACATTGGTGTATTTTTCCATTGTTTCACCCAAAAAAGAAATCCCACCTTCTTGTTTGCTGTCTGACTGGCTGTGAATATTAAAAGTTGATGAATTTTAAGAACTCAAACATAGCAAAGATGTGCATAAAATAACACAACGATAGATTCACCTTTAAGATGTGACTTTGTAATAGCTAATGACATATTTATGTATGTAATCATAACCAATTTAGGATCAAAGTTAATTATAAGCATCTATTGTCATACAATGAGTATATTCTTTTGACGTTTCACTGCTTTGCATTTCATATAGTGTATCGGTTGCAATCAATATTGCAACCATTGTGCTTTGATATTACTAATTATAAACATTTATATATTTGAAACATGTTTATTGAATGACATGCCTATATTATATATGCAGCGCTCGATTACATAGGCAAGGACACTCTACCTTTTTTGGAATCAGGTAAGCAGGAGAGTTCATAAATATAAATGTATTTACTTTTTTCCGCTATGCATATATTGGTAATCACTTAGCCAAAATAGTTGATGCACTGATTCCTCCTTTACTATGTTGACTATGTGAAATAATTCATATGTTTAACTTACATGTTTAATAGACATGAAATTTAATTTCAATTACAGTTAGAAATTGGAAATTTACATGAAATATACATACAGGTACAGTGATGTTGTAATGAGAAAACTGTATAATTGTGTCCTCTGTTATTCTACTATGCATATAAAAAAATAACAAGCCCTCAATTAACCAAAGAAATGTATTTTTTTCAGTACCAGCACTTAAAACCAATGGCCGTCACGCAGTTGAAAGTATGTACTAGAGATGTACACTAGATGTGTAATGCTCACACCCATGCTTGTTTCGGTGATAATAACAACATTAATGGACCCCCTGTTTTAGAAATACGTGTCTTTTCTTAAACGTCAATCGTTGAATTATTCTATTGTTGTTGAGAACTGATATAATAACCAATAGCTACAGAACACATAGTTGTGTGAAATAAGAGACCTTTCAATAAACGCAGATGAAGAAAAATGCCAATTCTTTGAAATCAAGTATCTCTATTCACTGTCATTGTCACTTCTCATTTTCAGGCGCGTTTTTGGACTATAGAGTCGATGAGATCATTCAATGTAAGTAATTTAAACCTTTTTTATTACTCGCCCGTGAAGAGATCATCCGTTTAACAATGACATTGCGTGTAGGTCACTAAGGGGACATTATGCACACTCGATGACTCTAGCAACCCGGTTGCCAGGCTGACGTCAGATGGCATTGTTCGACGTCATAGGATATTGTGATGTGATTGTAAACTTTGTGGACCAGGGTCCCGTTCCAGAAGGCGATCGTAGCGCAACGACAGCCCTAAGTCTATGTTTGTTTGTTTGTTGTTTAACGCCGCACTCAGCACTATTACAGTTATATGACGGCGGTATGAAATAATCGAGTCTGGACCAGACAATCCTGTGATTGATATCATGAGGCTCGATCCACGCAATTGGGATACAGTGACATGCATCAACCAAGACAGCGAGCCTTACTACCCTACCCCGTTAGTAGCCTATTACGATAAGCAGAGTCACCTTTTACGGCCAGCATGGGTTGCTGAAGACCTTTTCTACCCCGGATCTTCACGGGTCCACCCGAGACAGCGAGCCTTACTACCCTATCCCGTTAGTAGCCTATTACGATAAGCATGGACGTTTATTTACGGCAAGCATGGGTTGGTGAAGATGTATTGTAACCTGGATCTTCACGGGTCCCTAAGTCTATGAGCAGCTCTGTGGAACATATTCTTTAATTCTAAAGGTTGTGGGGTATTAAATTTAATACGTGTATTCTTTGACGTGTTTGAAGTATGATTCGGTTTATGCCGTGCATCGCTTAGATGTCTACCTATTCACAAACGACAGTGAAAATAGAAAAAAGAAGAAGTTATAAGCGGCATAAAGTGCCATTGTATTGTTAACGACATATGTCATCAGTTGGAGTCTGTTCTGTCTTCGAACCGCCTCCGTGGTCTAGTGGTAAAGCGTCCACCCGGAAAGCGGAAGATCCGGGGGTTCGATCCCCGGCCGCGTCATACCAAAAGACGTCAATCGTTGGTACTTGTTGTTACCCTGTCTGACGCTCGGCATTGCGGGGATAAGACCAGGACTGGTCGGCTCGGAGTCAGTACACTGTGTCTGTGTGGGGTATTCATGTTAAACTGTGGCACGGTGTCTGAATGGGCTAGCACTATAAATCAGTCTGGACAAATACAAGCAGCCACAGATACACGTGTATTCACATAAGTGCAATAATCTTGGACGCGACCTTAAACCTCAGTCCACCTCATCTGTTCTGTCTTCAATGGATGAGGTAAATCACAGTTGCTTTTATTGTCTTGTCCTTCATACCAATCCTTCATCCTTCACATCTTCACAACAAAAAACATCCAATTATATAATCAGCACACGTGTAAAATTCGCAAAGGAATGAAGACAATAATTCGATTTTGTTGTACGTTTCAGTCCTTGGAGTGTATGACGATTCTTATTTTGTGAAAGGTATGTACTGGCAAACTACACATATTTAAGCACAAGTAATTTGCATGATGTTTGCAAGTGTGTGTACTTGAAACCAGGTGTCACCATCAATAAAAGTGATACTTGCAAATAGCACTCATTGTTATACATCTGTACAACAATCATAAAAGTAACACTTCCAAATAACACTCATTGGCATAAATCTGTACCTTGTTCTTAAACAATACTTATTGATACATATTTCCAAAGTTTTGTTCTTTCTATTCCAGCGATGACAAGCAGGTTCTGTGTGGAATGTAGGTATTAATAAAGAAGTATGTGTTAATTAAATGTTTCAACATCTTCAGTGAAGGTTTTATTCTCTGTTTACTTGTTTGTTTAAAACATACAGAATGTGAAGTCAAACAGAAACGTGACGATTTAAAAAAAAACACACAAAAGAGATAGTTAATAAAATACAATCAAGGGTTTCAACATTGTGTGCGAGGATGCGACAACATGAGTGTTGGCCTCGTGGTTAAATCTCATCGAGCAGAGACACGAGATCTATTCCCATTATGCTTCAAGAAGATTGATGACTATTTCAAGTGTCACTCATTACCAAATGTTTTACACATGCAACATCTACATCATCCTCTTTGTCAAAGACTTTAGTACACTTTTTCCTTAAGCTGATGTCGTATCGATCTGTAACAGGATATGTAATGCAGATGGACCCGTGAAGATCCAGGGTAGAATTGGTCTTCAGCGACCTGTGCTTGCCGTAAGAGGCGACTATGCTTGTCACAGGAGGCGACTAATGGGATCGGGTGATCTGACTAGCTGACTTGGTTGAAGCATGTCATCGATCCCCATTGCGTGAATCGATCCTCATGTCAACCACTGGATTGTCTGGTCCAGACTCGATTATTTACAGACTGCCGTCATATAGCTGGAATATTGCTGAGTGCAGCGTTAAACAACAAACAAATCTTCCAATTAAAACATTTTTGAAATACGATTTTGTCAAAATAAGGGGATTGTGCACAACCTGCACTGTATTTGGTGAGGTAAAACATTATTTTCACTCGATTCTAGTTCACTTCAAAAGTGTCAATACAGAGTGACTTAATGTGTGTAATTCTTTTGGTGTGTTTTAACTGTTACAGATCTTCAAGACGTGAGGGCCGAGGATCGCAAAACATGTATGTTACCTAAAACACATCTATGATAATTTAATCCGATGATATCTCATTCCTGAATTCAATCCAAATTGTACTCTTTGTGTTCTAATCAATTCGCGAACGTCTGAGTAGTTTCAATACGTACATATTGTCATAGTTCAGGAAATCTTTGGACTTTGAAGACTCTGAAAGGTGCAAGCTTACAAGATACGTATATGCCCACCACAGACATCAAATTGTAACCAAATACATGAATCGACTTATAATTTAACATCCACTGCATCAACTTTTCAGTCATGTTAATGACGCCCTGTATTTATTCCTTATTTTACAGTAATTTCACTTGACTTACCTGTTAAACCTGGTGTTACCGCTTTGGAACCAAATGGTATGTATTAATAGATGTGTTGCCTTTGTTTCCCACAATAACTTTCATCAGTTTCATGTAACAGTTGTTTTAATGAATAGCAAAAGAAAAAAACTGAGGTTTAGAATCAAGGTATTTTGATCATGCTGAACCATCTATTACAAATTTAAAGCGTCTCAATTGGTGTGTGTCTGGTAATAAAAGTCATTAAATGTTTGATTATTTAAATGATACACATGCGACTTAGATAATAGACGTGTCAGTCAAATAGAGTATTAACATAATTATCTGTGATGTTAGCATTTCATAGACCCCTGTCAGTAGTGATAAATTATAGTGAGGCAAACCAGAAAGCTTCATCTAATTTACATTGTAATCTCTAGGTCTTTCTGCTTTCGTTAGCCATCACATTCCGTGTTGCCCATGTTGTCGTATTGAAGCGAATGGAATGTAAGCAGTTATCGAAGCAGCCAATGTTCAAACAGCATGGTAACAACTTATGACAGTATTTATCATTTTGTTGGCTGGTGGAACTAACACGCATTTTCTTTATTCATTTTGAAGATAGAATTATTGACAACCAAACTAATGACCTTAACGTACAACATATCCATGATTGTACGCCAGTTTATCGACATTGGTGTGCAATAGACAATAGATCAGTCAGTCAAATATAGCATTTAAATAATTATCTATGTGGGTAGTCTGGAAACATAGAAAACTGTAGTAAGGCAAAATAGATAGCTTCATCTGACTGACAATGAAATCTCTTTGATCTATATTTTCTGCTTTTGTTTGCCATCAGTAGATCATTCGGTGTTTCCTGCCTTGGGTTGTGACTGGATATTTGTTGGAAGCGACTATGCCAATTCAGTATCTAATGAGTAGCCAATGTTCACAGCATGTTGTGGTGCCACTATTCATCCTTTCGGTTGATGGTGGCGCTAACGCCCAATTCCTTCATCCATTTAGTGACGCTTTCCATATAAAGTGTGATGTGTGGTCCATTGCTAGTATCGTTATAGTTGTCACCGTATTAAAGGTAAATATGTTACTGTTAGTATCATTAAGGTAGAACACCTGGGGATGCACTTAGTGTACATGACTGATAAATTTGGAACTGGGCGAATTAAAAGTGTTTCCTAGAGATAACCCTGTTTTACTTTAGTAGCTGATTGGGTGTCAACGTGCCCAGTGGGAGTTCTTCCAGACACCAACGACTTATTAGCTTGGCCCTTATTCGAGTATTTACAAGTCGCCAATAGATAGTGTGACTGTAGTTTTGAATAACATTAAATTATAACTTACGTATGTAAAACATAGCATTATTCTGATGATGACCTTCACGTCCTTTATATATTTAAATAGTGAATATTTGCACATATCTGTTCTGTAGATTCGCCTGAAAGAAAAGTTCTCTCAACCCTTTTTACATAGATTTATATTTTGTTATTTCTGTTCTCTGAGAGCACGCTTATTATCTATTGTGGTAGTATGTATACCTTCTATACCCCTTCAGGTCTAAAAGAAAACCAGAAAATCTTGGATGGTAAGTTTTGTTTGTTTGTTTGTTGTTTAAACCCGCTCTAGGCAATATTACAGCTTTATGACGGCAGTCTGTATATAATAGAGTCTGGACGAGACAATCCAGTGATTGAATTCATGGGCATCGATCCACGCAATAGGCAATTGGGATCGATGACATGCATCAACCAAGTCTGCGAGCCTGACCACCCGATCCCGTTAGTCGCCTCTTACGACAAGCGCAGTCGCCTTTTACGGCAAGCATTGGTTGTTGTAGGCCTATTCTAGCCCGGATCTCCACGGGTCGTTAATAACTTGGTTGATGGTTACACACATGGAATGTTGATATGACCATGAGATCAGAAGTCTGCAATATATATATAAATAGGGACAGTTTGAATAATTTTGAAATTATAAACCGTCACAATGAATATTTTCAGAAAAGACCATGTGGGTCAATGCTACGATATTCACCTCACTCCTAGGATCGTATCAACTTGCAACATTTGTTTATAACCCAGATGTGTTACTGTAGACATCATGATGCACAGATTATTCACAGACCGCCGTCATATAGCTGGAATATTGCTGAGTGCGGCGTTAAACAACTAACTGACCAATCAACCAACCAACCCACCAACAAACCCACTCACCCACTCACTCATTTGCCAGTGTGAACAGGTCACCATGATGCGGTTCGACTTTCGTCTTAAACAACATTAATCTTATTTCACTTATATAAATATGAACACAAACTTAAGTATGTATGTGTCATATGTGTCATATAACTGTGCGTTTCTTTTTTTGAAGAGTGTAACTGTACTGAAAATCACATTTGATCAAATGCTTTTGATCATATGTGACACCATCCATTCGTCTCGCTTCTAAAGAGGACACTGGTTATAACTATAAACTATGAAGGCAGTATGTCAAGTTTAAGTGATTGAAAATTATATTTTAAGATTCTAGCCCATTTTGTATACATTGCATTGTCAAAGAGACAAGACAGTGTTCTGCTCAAGCAAGACCAATTCAATGCTAATTAGAGTATGCTGAATTCACATTGAAATTAATAATTCATTTGAATATCATTACTGTATTTTTATGGTTACAGTGCTTCGAGGCTTGGCACCCGAGGTCCGGATTACACGTAAGTATTAAATACCATAAAAAAACAAAACACTTCCATGACGCTATTCTGCCGATGACGTGAACGCACAATTTGTACAGAATGTACGGCCATTTTTCGTGTTAAACTGAATATTTACACTTGTTTGTTTTGTCGATTATCAACATAAAGTTATATTAGGAGGTTTGAGAAAATGTCTCCTATAATTTAAACTCAAGAGATGATACAGCTGAACTCGTTAGTGATTTAATAAACCTGAATCTGGGACCTGACGCTGAAGCTCTCAAGGATGTATAAAATATTTGACAACGTATCCCTAATACAGTTCCCCACCTTCACACACTTCACTTACACATACCTTGGGAAAGTATTATGCTACATGTGGTGCTTCTTAATGAGGTGTCGGTAACAATAAAACATATAATGGAACTAAGAAAAGGGAATTGTAGGGATTTACACCTTTATTCTATTTCAGTTATTAAAGCCTTTGATACCAAACGACTCGCAAATGGTACGTACATTTAGACAAGTCAGTTCCATCGTATGACATGTGACGACAATGTGTATGTTGTTTATTTTGGTACTGGACACATGTAACTTATATTGGCAAAAGTGTAACTGTATGTGATGCATATCAGACCTTGACTTAAGTATCGTGCATGTACATTGTACATGAATACATGGTATTGGACACATGTAACTTCTATGGTCATAAGTGTAACTGTAATACTATGTGTACAAGTCTCTGAAAGGCATTTACAAGTGATACACAAAAGGAAGAGAATTAATGGATGTCAACTTCTATGTTATGAGGAAAAATCATTTCGGAGCATATGGTTACTCCTTCATCGGGTGAATGAACGATATGTGGAAGAGAGCACATACATCATGTACATATAACATCACAATGCCCAACACCAGAGAATCCAGTTCACCATGGAGACTGAAACCAATCAACACCTTCTATTCCTAGACGTGCCCCTCCAAACCACAGATGATGGACAAAGAAGATCAGTGTACCTTAAGCCTACACACAGAGACCGGTACATCCACAACAACTCCTGCCACCCCCAAGATAGAACAAGCCACCCTCACCCGAAGTGCCAAATCCATTTGCCACCCTGATGCCCTCACCAGTGAACTGGACTATCTCAAGGAAACTTTCACTCCCCTCAACAGTTACCCTGCCCACATAGTCTTAAAAAACCATCCGCGGGGCCCTCAAGAACTCCGATCCCTGACCCAAACCTGCCCCGTTGCCAATCAGAATTACCGTACCCTACCAAGGCCCTGTCACTCATCAGATTTCCCGCCTCGTCAAGAACAAAGCCAACATAGATGTCACCTTTTCTAGCGGCAAGTCCATCAAGACCAATCTACTAGCCAATGGCAGAGACACATGCAGCATTAGTCCCAGCCCATCGATGATGTATAAACCAGATCCCCTTTAACTGTGGTCACCGGTACATTAGCGAAACCTTCAACACAAAGAACATCATTCCTCTGTCAACAAACAAGACCTGAAATGCGTTATTTCCGACATCATCAAGAATCAAGACCATAACAGCATGTGGGAACCCACCAAAGTCCTGTTAACCAATAACAACTGGCAACAAAGAAAACTACAAGCAGCCATTGACATCAGGTGTGGGTGAGTTCGGTTTTACGCCGCTTTTAGCAATATTCCAGCAATATCACGGCGGGGGACACCCGACATGGGCTTCACACATTGTACCCATGTCGGGAATCGAACCCGCGTTTTCGGCCTTACGAGCTAACGCTTTAACCACTAGGCTACCCGACCGCCCCCATTGACATCAGAAGACACCAGCCAGCCATGGACCGTGATCAGGGAAACCACCTGCCTAGTGCCTGGGACTTATTGCGTTGATCTTTGTCAATGTCAATTACCGACCAGGCTTCCATTTTCCCATTGCTATTTCTATTCATTAACCTATCAGTGACAATTACCAAGGCCTCCCGTTTGCCCATTGTCCATTGCTAATTATCAATCAGTGATAATTTAATTCTTGGCTTCAAGTTGTCCATACCTATCAGCGCTAATTACTGTGACGTGTTAGATTCCATTGTATATTGCTAATCATGGACCAGCGGCATAAATTTTTTACTTCCCTTGTTAAAATCCCTTGTTGTGGTTCTTACATGTACATATATATGCTCTCTGTCTCATAGCATCCATCCACCTGTTGAAGGAGTAAGCATATACTCCGAAACGTTGTGTTCCTCATAATAAAGAAGTTGACTTCCATCAATTCTCGTCCTTCTATGTACATATATGTCCATGTAATATTTGCATTTGAATTAGCGAGTTGCATGATGTAATGAGAAAAATTTAATTGATTCATTTGTGTATCCAGTTCTTGTAGCAGGAGGTGCTAAAGTCTACGAAGATCATTTGTGTGAGTATACACAAGTTAATTAGAATCTGGTTCTTATATTTTAGGTTTGTGCTCAACGTTTAAATAACAGAACGTTAAGCGTCCAAAGGATAAGGTGCTAAAAATTAGTTCTACACTGTTATAATTGTCGCCTTTTAAATGTACATGTATGGTTTTTTTTGTAATAAAGCGACTTTATACATGAACACTGGACGTTGTGTTGGTGAGACATATTCTGTCATCAGGGGAATCAAACGAATGTAGCGAACATTGTGCTGCTCATGTTAAGTGTACATATCATTCATATATTTAAAATGGGTCATCAGGGATGTGTGTGTTACTCTGACAACATGACCATCCCAAGTGCTGGATTTATTAAAGTGGAACTTCTGATTCTAGCATTACCCACATCAGATTGGTTTCTATCAATAGTTCTCTCTTTCAGATCAAGGAATAATCAAAGGACTAATAACAGGTACGACCGAACATAGTTTTAGGTTTATTATCACACATAGCTCTCTCTAAAGTAGGGGCGGTCGGGTAGACTAGTGGATGAAGCGTTCACTCGTCACACCGAAGACCCGGGTTCGATTCCGGATCTTGGGTACAATGTGTGAAGCCCATTTCTGGTGTCCACCTCCGTGATATTGCTGGAATATTGCTAAAAGCGGCGTAAAACCATACTCACTCCCTAACTCACTTGTTAAGTAGAAGCGCATGGTTTTGTTGTCTTAAACCTAAACGTACATTCTCCAAACAGAAGGCCTACAATACGCTCTCAAACGCAGTGAAATGCTAAAGTTAGATCACGATCGTAGCTAAGAATGCTTTTAAAAAGGGGTTTAAGAGGTCTTGAGACTTCCCTGCAGTTACATATGCCATATCAGAAAAGGTGACTTAATTATAGGCAACAATTGGGACTTATCTCGCCTCGATGGTTCATAATAAACAAAAACATCAAAACATTCATGTTTAAATAAGAAACACTTTTCAATTATTGTTCCTTATTTCTTGTTTCAGTTTTTGGTGCAAACGATTTTCAAGGTACGTACACATACAACAAATATTAAAACATTATTTTGAAGCTACCGAATCTTCTAAGCAGTGATTAACCCAGGAATTTTTCAAAGTGGTATTGCTGTCCAACTGTATACACCTTCATAGACAGGTGACCCGTGAAGATCCAGGGTAGAATAGGTCCTCAGCAACTCATGACTATCGTAAAAGGCGACTAATGGGATCGGGTGGTCAGGCTCGTTGACTTGGTTGATGCATGTCATCGTATCCAAATTGCGTGGATCGATGTTCATGATATCATTCACTGGATTGTTTGGTCCAGACTCGTTTATATACAGATCCCCGTGACATAGCTGGAATATTGCTGAGTGTGGTGTTAAACAACAAACACTTCATTTGATGGTTGTTTCACTGATTGAGAGAAAGAATGGCATATATTAAAGAACACAAATTTACCTCAAAGATTGTCGTATTATTTAGGGCAGAATATGTTTTTTGAAAGTTTAAAACGCAGTCTCGTATGTCTGATGAAATACAATTTTATAGGACGATGAAGACAAAATAATAATGACAATTTTACGAACTGATTCCTCAAAATCCATCTTTGAAACCCTCTATTTGTAGCATACGCCACTCACAACTTAATTACAATTTGATCGGAACCATATTATTAATGGAACGCTACATTTGATTTGCTCTTTTTCAGGATAAATGATCAGCTGGACACGATAGTTACCTCGTGATGCCATTGGAAGTGTCCTTGTAAACTGACAGTAGTAAAGGTCCTAAGGACACAAACGGAAAACGCCTTTGTTGTGATTTCATTGAAACTTAAATACTTTCAAAAACATAGGGGACATTGGTTCACCGAGTGGTTAAAGCGTTCACTCGTCATGCCGAAGACCAGGGTTCGTTTCCACACATAACTACAAATGTGAAGACCCTTTCTGGTGTCCCACTCCATGATAAAGCTTGAATATTGGTAACAGTGGCGCAAAGCGATACTCTCACACTCAAATACTCTCACTCACTCCTCACTCACTCAAAAAACATAGTGGGACAAACGATATTCATCATCGAAAAAATCATTACACTCACAGATCCACCAATCAAACTATATTCATGCTACCTGGCAGGTCAGAGACAAGTCCCGTTAATCGGAAACTTGTTCATCCGACATACAGTGGTCATAGAGTGGTCATACAGTGGCCATAGACTGGTCATAGAGTGGCAATTCAGTGGTCATACAGTGGTCATAGAGTGGTTATAGAGTGGTCATACAGTGGTCATACAGTGGTCATATAGCGGTAATATAGTGATCATACAGAGGCCATTCAGTGGCCATACAGTGGCCATACAGTGGTCATAGAGTGGTCATAGAGTGGCCATAGAGTGGTCATACAGTGGTAATACAGTGGTCATACAGTGGCCATACAGTGATCATACAGTAGTCATACAGTGATCATACATTGTTCATACAGTGGTCATACAGTGATCATACAGTGTTCATAAAGTGGTCATACAGTGGTCATATAGTTGTCACACAGAGGTCATCCAGTGGTCATACAGTGGCCATACAGTGATCATACAGTAGTCATACAGTAGTCATACAGTGGCCATACAGTGGTAATACAGTAGTCATACAGTGGTCATACAGTGGTGATACAGTGATCATACAGTGGTCATACAGTAGTCATACAGTGGTCATTAAGTGGTCATACAGTTGTCATACAGTGGCCATACAGTGGTCACACAGTGGTGATACAGTGGTCATACAATGGTCATACAGTGGTCTTCCAGTGGTCTTCCAGTGGTCATAGAGTGGTCATAGAGTCATCATACAGTGGTCATTCAGTGGTAATACAGTGGCCATACAGTGGTCATACAGTGGTCATACAATGGTGTTACAGTGGCCATGATACAATGGACATACAGTGATCATACAGTGGTCATACAGTGGCCATACATTAGTCATACAGTAGTCATACAGTAGTAATACAATTGTCATACAGTAGTAATACAGTGGTCATACAGTAGTCATAGAGTGGGCATACAGTGTACATACAGTGTTCATACAGTGGTGATACAGTGGTCATACAATGGTCATACAGTGGCCATACAGTAGTCATACAGTGGTCATACAGTAGTAATACAGTGGTCATACAGTAGTAATACAGTGGTCATTCAGTTGCCAAACAGTGATCATACAGTAATCATACAGTGGTCTTACAGTGGCCATACAGTTATCATACAGTAGTCATACAGTGGTCAATCAGTGGCCATACAGTGCTCATAGAGTGGTCATAGAGTCATCATACAGTGGTCATTCAGAGGTTATACAGTGGTCATACAGGGTCATAGAGTGGTCACAGTGTCATCATACAGTGGTCATACATTGGTCATACAGTGGTCATACAGTGGCCGTACAGTGATCATACAGTTGACATACAGTGGTCATTCAGTGGTCATACAGTAGTCATACAGTAGTCATACAGTGGTCATACAGTGGTCATACAGTTGACATACAGTGGTCATTCAGTGGTCATACAGTAGTCATACAGTAGTCATACAGTGGTCATTTAGTAGTCATACAGTGGTCAAAATGTGGTCATAGAGTGGCCATACAGTGGTCATACAGTGGTCATACAGTGGCCATACAGTGGTCATACAGTGGTTATACAGTGGTCATACAGTGGCCATACAGTGGTCATACAATGGTCATACAGTGGCCATACAGTGGTCATACAGTGGTTATACAGTGGACATATAGTGGTCATACAGTGGTCACACAGTGGGCATCCAGTGGTCATACAATGGTCATACAGTGGTCATACAGTGGCCATACAGTGGTCATACAGTGGCAATACAGTGGCCATACAGCGATCATGCAGTAATCATACATTGGCTATACAGTGGCCATACAGTGACCATACAGTGGTCATACAGTAGTCATACAGTGGTCATAGAGTGGTCACACAGGTCATACATTGGCCATACATTGATCATGCAGTAATCATACAGTGGACATACAGGTGCCATACAGTGATCATACAGTAGTCATACAGTGGTCATACAGTTGTCATACAGTGGTCATACAGTGGTCACATAGTGATCATCCAGTGGTAATACAGTGGTCATACAGTAGTTATACATTGGTCATTCATTGGCCATACAGTGGTCATACAGTGGTCATACAGTCGCCATACAGTGGTCGTACAGTGATCATACAGTGGTCATAGAAGTGGTGATACAGTAGTCATACAGTGGTCGTACAGTGGCCATACACTGGTCATAAAGTAGTAATACAGTGGTCGTACAGTGGTCATACAGTGGTCATACAGTGGTCATACAGTTCCTATTCAGTGGTCACTCAGTGTTACCTGCAAGGACTTATTCCCGAGTGGAGTTATAAAGTGCAAAGGTCTACTCAAAGGTTAAATAGAATGGAATGTTCACGGCGTCAGAGCGTCATGCAGTTGCGTCAGTGCTGTCATACCATGTTCGATGACGAATACAGGTTCCATCTCGACATGCACACCAATGCACACTATGGATTTTATCTTCTCTTGGGGACCCATTGGACCAGTTGTCTTCGGCATCGCAATTCAGTGTGCAGAGTTGCATCCCTTGAATACTCCAGAATCCAATAATTGTGGGTTCGTATCCCTGATCTCCTATGTTTCTTGGTTTGTCAGCACCATACCCGTGCTCGTGGGTTTCACCAACGTGGGTGGACCAAAACGTATAAGGAGCCAAAACAGGGAGACCGCCTTGCTCTTTTGGCGTTTTGGGGAGCAGCCTTGGTGCCTTGGTTGATTGCATGACATCGTACCCTGTCTGCGTGGTTTGCACACACTATCGATCACTGGATTGTCTGGTTCATAATCGAATAACCTAATGTTCGTTGTGTTCATTGAAGTTCCTGCATGAGCTGATGAGCTGAATTGGTCACGTGTTATTGCATTCATTTCCCAAATAATGTAAAAAAATAAGCCGCGCCAACTACTTTTATTACTACAGTCGAGGAATCTCAATATATTACAGTCGAGAGAATTCCCTCTCTGCTTTCACTACGCTTAGCGAAATTCATGCATATTCATTGTACAAACAAACCTTTGAGAGCGGGGGCCGAGGAGGAATGAAACAGCAAACGTTCACGCTCGCCTGTTTTTTTTTCCCGCCCGCCTCGGATTCACAATTTCCATGTCATTGGGTTTCATTTGTAAAGAGCATCTAGAATGAGTGAGTAGTTTTTTTAAGTACCGCCTTCAACGCATCTTCCTGAGGCAAAGGAGTTAACAGACTTAAAAGTCCAGTTTCAATCCTTGACGAAATAGGCTGGAATTTCTGGCCTCGATCGTAGCGCCACCAGTGGCTATTACGAGTTATGTCCCTCCTAAGCCTCTCCTATGGACCAATCAGATTCCACCTCTCGTATCACTTGCATTTGCTTCAAACAAAATGGCGGCGCCCAGTCAAGACAATCTGATCAATAATCAAGATATATTGTGATAAAACGGGTCTTACATCGCGCAATGCATCAAATCACGTGAGCACCTTGATTAAAAACATGAAAAGATTTGGAAAATATCTGTTGACAACGAGTTGGTTGGGCACTTACTTTGCAATCGACCGAAACCTGCAAGACAGTTTAAGAACCGGATTCCGATTTCGTTACGCGATTTTGATTGGACTATGCATAGACTCGTTAGTCCAGACAACATGTAGCTCCATAATACCAGCCTAGTTCGGCAAGGGTGGAAACTGGACTTTTATGGTCAGTTGACTTTCTTACCTCGGGAAGATGCCTTCAACAATATTTCAGTTATGTCACGGCATGTCATGTTAACTGAGGAAAGTAATGCAGGTCCATAATGTGCCAAGGGCATGTTACCGGGGATGGTACCAGGGATGTTATCGGGGATGGTGGCAGGGATGGTACCGGGAATGGTACCAGTGATGGTATCGGGAATGGTACCGGTGATTGTACCGGGGATTGTACCGGTGATTGTACCGGTGATTGTACCGGTGATTGTACCGGTGATTGTACCGGTGATTGTACCGGTGATTGTACCGGTGATTGTACCGGTGATTGTACCGGTGATTGTACCGGTGATTGTACCGGTGATTGTACCGGTGATTGTACCGGTGATTGTACCGGTGATTGTACCGGTGATTGTACCGGTGATTGTACCGGTGATTGTACCGGGGATTGTATCGGTGATGGTACCGGTGATGGTACCGGTGATTGTACCGGTGATTGTACCGGTGATTGTACCGGGGATTGTACCGGGTATGGTACCAGGGATGGTATCGGGGATGGTACCGGTGATTGTACCGGTGATTGTACCGGTGATTGTACCGGGGATGGTACCGGTGATGGAACCAGGGATGGTATCGGGGATTGTACCGGGCATTGTACCGGTGATGGTACTGGGGATTGTACCGGGGATGGTACCAGTGATGGTATCGGAGATGGTATCGGGAATGGTATCGGGGATGGTACCGGGGATGGTACCAGTGATGGTATCGAGGATGGTACCGGGGATGGTACTGGGGATGGTACCAGGGATGGTACTGAGGATGGTAAACCCCAAGATCACGGTACGGTGCACTGGAACAACTAAGACTATTAAGCCATAACGCCCGACTAGCAAGGACGAAATGACTCGGCAAATGTTTGATATTAAAAAAAAGAATGTTATTCGTTCATTTGTAAATACATTACATTACAGTTTGCACTCAAGTTTTAATTTTCTGAGTTCTATTTGGGGAGTGTTTGAAAGTACGATTGGAGATAAAAGGAAAATGTTACTTTATTGAATGTGTAAACGAGACGGAAATCAACAGCATACGTCAATATAACCATATTCACTCCCCATCTATACTGTATTACATCAGGCATACTGTCTACCACGTCATCACCAAGGGCTTGAGAAGGTCGACCTTCAGTCTGGTTGCATGCAGAACCTGTAACATAGAGTAGGTCAAGTTCAGTAAAAGTGAAATAATTAAGAACTGACTTTCACTTTGTGTGAGTTCATTGGAGTATGAAGATTCATAATCAAAGGAACTCACACAAAGTGAAAGTCAATTCTTGTAATTGTTAATATCACTATTTTATATCTCGAGAGATATGTAGGGCTAGATCTACATGTTTACACCGACAACCATACAACAACCAGGTGTAACGAGGAATTAAATATTTCCCCAAAAGATGAAGTCACATGATCTGTTTAAAAAAAAAAATTGAAAAGTTCATTAAATGAGAATGGCGTGTTTTGAACTACCTCTGTAATTCAGCAAAAAAAGAGAGCGCGTCGTAATACATTTACATCAAGTACAATACGTCAAAATGGCCGACACGACGGAAAGGGTTTTGGAACATGTGTTAGTTATCATTGATCAGTTGGCCGATCATTGAAAGATGATTATGAAGATATTTCAAGTAAATACTAAGGTAATTCATAGATTGCTGTGGACTGTTACTGTCAGTCTAGATACTGATCAAGTCGATACTTCAGTAGTGGATGTGCATTTCTTTTGTTCACTAAAATGGGTCGTAGCAAGGAATTTCGTGAACGATCATGCAGTCAAACACTCTGACGTTTCTCAATGTATGCTAAAACGCTGATTTCAAGATTATAGGGTCTAAATGATCCGTAACAAAGCTTCTGTATGTATTCGTGTTTGGCATTCAAGGGATTTCCCCAGGAATGTGGAGGTGGTCGTCAGTGTTTACGTCATTTTAAGAATACGGTCTGGTGAAAAATGTATGAGCGTCAAGTAGTGTCGTTCATACGCGTATGATCGTCAGTTCCGCGCATATGGCCGGTCTGTTTTCCAACTTCAAATTAAAAAGAACATTCTGGAGTGAGGGCCGATGATTTCATCATCTGGGGAAGGGGCAGGGTTGTCTGACTGGGAATATTTATTTTTTTTATAATTGTCCAAAGAAATCTTGGAAGAGAGTTGTCCCTTGTGGTTTTATTATGAAATATAGTCGCTGGGTGTCCTAATAAAATACCAAAAAATGAAGAATAATTCAGACATTGCGCTGGCCCTTAAGTAGAGATTATATGTCCGCTTCTTTCAATATTTTATATTTCGGTGAAGGCTGATCCTCTATCAGGAACACTATAACAAAATGTTGAAAAGGCCACACATGCTATCTTTAATGTTGACAGTGTGATTCATATGTGAGGCAAGAGAAACACAACGATCAATATTACAGGGATTAGAATGCCCTGAGAAAAATGCGCTGAAAAGATGAATCAGATTAATCCATGTGTAAACCTACACATTCAAACGGAGCTCGTTTTCAAAGCGCTCTTGCCGTCATGGTAGAGGTGAGGTAAAATAAGGTTTGACGTCGCGTCCAAGGTTATTGTACGTATATAGCGACCTGCATGCACGTGTGTGTGTGTGTGTGGCTGCTTGTACTCGTCCGGACTGATGCCGATTTATAGTGCTAGCTAACTGAGATACCATGCCGCAGTTTAACATGAATACCCCACTCAGACACATTATACTGACTCAGAGCCGACCAGTCCTTGTTTTAGCCCCTTAATGCCGAGCGCCAGACAGGGTAACATCAAAGTACTATCTATAAACGTTTTGGTATGATGGAGCCGGGGACCTTCCACTCCCCGGGCGGACGCTCTACCTCTAGACCACGGAGGCGGCCCCGTCACGGTAGAATGGAAAAAAAGCTAAATCGCTCGGGACAAATTAAAGTAAAACGACTCTGATCTACAGTGGACCGACATCAAATTTAAACACGCGGTAGGTTAATCTTCAAAATCACTCTCACTCAGTCCATTTGTCTGCCTACTGTCCAGTTTTAAAGAACACCCAGCAATATATAATGCTCAAAAGAAGTAAAAGAACACCTGGTTCTTTCACCTTGCTATAGTTAATTTGTCATGCCATACCCCTTTATTTTAGTAGTATAGTAAGACTCACCTTGCTAGCAGTGTCGTAGGTGTGGGCGACGCCGACACCATTGACTCTGACAGTTGTCGGCGCTGTTGCCACACCGTACACGTCGACGCTCCCTAACGTCATGGTCGTGGCGTAGTTGCTAGACTTGATAGTGGACGTCAGTCTCTCCTGGAACATGGCGACGTAAAATGGGATTTAACGTGACGTTCAAATTATTGCACGTATATAGCGCCTGTGGCTGCTGGTACTTGTCCGTACTTAATCCGGTTTTATAGTGCTAGCCTACTGAGATACCAAACAGCAGTTTAACATGCATACCCCTCTCAGACACAGTATACTGTCTCCGAGCCGACCAGTCCTTGTTTTATTCCCTTTAAGCCGTGGGCAAGGCAGGGTAACAACAAGTACCATATTTTGACTTCGTTTGGTATGACGTGGCCGGGGATCGAACCAGCCACCTCCCACTCTCCGGGCAGACGCTCAATCTACTAGATGATATTGCATCATTATGTTTCGGCATCGGTTTCCATTACACAATCAAATGCCGTCACTAATCACTGGGTAGCTGTTCTCAAGACACTGGGTTCTGCTAAAAAAGTAAACACGTTTGAAGAAAGAATTTTGATGATAGAAATATATCTCCCTCGTTTCTTTTTAAAATGAAAATGAAAGCTGAAAACTTCTCTGCAAACCTCAGAGTTTTAAACATTTTTCAACTGGTACTTATATATCTAATATCAAAGCAAAGTCGGGTGAGATTATCTATAAATAAGTTCAATACGTACCCCGTCCAGATTGAACTGGATCTGGTTATATGGCGCATCTGGAGAGAAACATGAAAAGATGAAGTTTTAGAATAATTTTAACACTTCATCTTAAACAGTCTAACTTTGAGTGATTTGAGTTCAATGATATTTGATTTATATGTAGTTCTGCTACGTGTTAAAATTTGGGCAAATCCAAAACAAACGCCAACGGTAGATGTGTACCACCTTTGTGTTTTTTTTTGTTTAACGCCACACTCAGAATATTCTAGCTATAGAACGGCGGTCTGTAAATAATCGAGTCTGGACCAGACAATCCAGTGATTGATATTGTGAACAACGATCCACGCAATTGGGATACGATGACCTGCATCAACCAAGTCAGCTAGCCTGACCGCCCGATCCCGTTATCGTCCTTACGACAGGACAGTCGCCTTTTAGAGCAAGCATGGGTTGCTGAAGACCTATTCTACCCCGGATCTTCACGGGTCCCATAGAATTTTTTATCACCAACAGACCATTCAGTACAAAATAGTTAATGTCAAACCAAATGACATCTAAACTTTAAAGCATTAGATTGCGAGTACGTTTGTCGTGTTCTGCCCCGGATCTTTACGGGTCTATCACTTTGTAAAATCCTCACCTAGGGTCTCGCCGTCGTCCCAGTACAGGAAGCCTTGAGCTGTGTTCCGGCTCGACGAGGCCACCACCAGACCGAAGTCATTGCGTCGGCTTCCAAAAAGCAGGAACAAAGAAACAAACTAATAACACAAACAGATCGGGATATTGAAGATATATGTCTTATATATTCCTGGGTAAGGTGAAATGAGGTTATGACAAGTATATACTTGCATGTACCGGTATGTGGTTCTTCTTGTTCTAGTCCGGGCTTATGCAGGTTCTAAACGTTTGTGTTTACGTCGGTTGGGGTCAGAGACCGTATTGGATGAGATCAGCATGAAGAACAGAACGCAATTATACATCGTCCATGGGAGGATCACAGGGCCAGTCGTGCTATTCTTTGGGCGCAACACTGGTCAACCTTTCGTTTTCACGGAACTGTATTCCGATTGTCGCTGTCGCAGCGGAAGAGCACCCCAACTTTATCAAAGGCAGAACTGAGACCGCGATTTTCCCCCTTCAGTACGAGTGGGACATGACCTCAAAGCCAGCACTTAGGCCGCGATCCTCCCCCTCCAGTACGAGTGGGACATGACCTCAAAGCCAGCACTTAGGCCGCGATCTTCCCCCTTCAGTACGAGTGGGACATGACCTGAAAGCCAGCACTTAGGCCGCGATCTTCCCCCTTCAGTACGAGTGGGACATGACCTGAAAGCCAGCACTTAGGCCGCGATCTTCCCCCTTTAGTACGAGTGGGACATGACCTGAAAGCCAGCACTTAGGCCGCGATCTTCCCCCTTTAGTACGAGTGGGACATGACCTGAAAGCCAGCACTTAGACCGCGATCTTCCCCCTTTAGTACGAGTGGGACATGACCTCAAAGCCAGCACTTAGACCGCGATCTTCCCCCTTCAGCACGAGTGGGACATGGTCTCAAAGCCAGCACTTAGGCCGCGATCTTCCCCCTTCAGTACGAGTGGGACATGACCTGAAAGCCAGCACTTAGGCCGCGATCTTCCCCCTTCAGTACGAGTGTGACATGACCTCAAAGCCAGCACTTAGACCGCGATCTTCCCCCTTCAGCACGAGTGTGACATGGTCTCAAAGCCAGCACTTAGGCCGCGATCTTCCCCCTTCAGTACGAGTTGGACATGACCTGAAAGCCAGCACTTAGGCCGCGATCTTCCCCCTTCAGTACGAGTGTGACATGGTCTCAAAGCCAGCACTTAGACCGCGATCTTCCCACTTTAGTACGAGTGGGACATGACCTCAAAGCCAGCACTTAGACCGCGATCTTCCCCCTTCAGTACGAGTGGGACATGACCTGAAAGCCAGCACTTAGGCCGCGATCTTCCCCCTTCAGTACGAGTGTGACATGACCTGAAAGCCAACACTTAGGCCGCGATCTTCCCCCTTCAGTAGGAGTGGGACATGACCTCAAAGCCAGCACTTAGGCCGCGATCTTCCCCCTTCAGTACGAGTGGGACATGACCTGAAAGCCAGCACTTAGGCCGCGATCTTCCCCCTTCAGTACGAGTGGGACATGACCTGAAAGCCAACACTTAGGCCGCGATCTTCCCCCTTTAGTACGAGTGGGACATGACCTGAAAGCCAGCACTTAGACCGCGATCTTCCCCCTTCAGCACGAGTGGGACATGACCTCAAAGCCAGCACTTAGGCCGCAATCTCCCCTCTTCAGTAGGAGTGAGACATGACCTCAAAGCCAGCACTTAGACCGCGATCTTCCCCCTTCAGTACGAGTGGGACATGACAGCAAAGCCAGCACTTAGACCGCGATCTTCCCCCTTCAGTACGAGTGGGACATGACCTGAAAGTCAGCACTTAGACCGCGATTTTCCTCTTCAGTACGAGTGGGACATTACCTCAAAGCCAGCACTTAGGCCGCGATCTTCCCCCTTCAGTACGAGTGTGACATGACCCCAAAGCCAGCACTTAGACCGCAATCTTCCCTCTTTAGTACGAGTGGGACATGACCTCAAAGCCAGCACTTAGACCGCGATCTTCCCCTTCAGTACGAGTGTGACATGACCTCAAAGCCAGCACTTAGATCGCGATCTTCCCCCTTCAGTACGAGTGGGACATGACCTCAAAGCCAGCACTTAGACCGCGATCTTCCTCCTTCAGTACGAGTAGGACATGACCTCAAAGCCAGCACTTAGGCCGCGTTCTTCCTCCTTAAGTACGAGTGGGACATGAACTCAAAGCCAGCACTAAGGCCGCGATCTTCCCCCTTCAGTACGAGTGGGACATGACCTCAAAGCCAGCACTTAGGCCGCGATCTTCCCCCTTCAGCACGAGTGGGACATGACCTCAAAGCCAGCACTTAGGCCGCGATCTTCCCCCTTCAGTACGAGTGGGACATGACCCGAAAGCCAACACTTAGACCGCCTATCCCTTCCGTGTATTAATATCGGACACCTGTGTATCACTGTACACCTATCCCTTCTGTGTATTAATATCGGATTATCTGTGTATCACTGTAAGCCTACCTCTTCTGTGTATTGATATCGGACACTTGTGTATCACTGTACGCCTATCCCTTCTGTGTATTAATATCGGACACCTGTGTATCACTGTACGCCTATCCCTTCTGTGTATTAATATCGGACACTTGTGTATCACTGTACGCCTACCTCTTCTGTGTATTAATATCGGACACCTGTGTATCACTGTACACCTATCCCTCCTGTGTATTAATAACGGACACCTGTGTATCACTGTACGCCTACATCTTCTGTGTATTAATATCGGACACTTGTGTATCACTGTACGCCTATCCCTTCTGTGTATTAATATCGGACATCTGCGCATCACTGTACGCCTACCTCTTCTGTGTATTAATATCGGACACCTGTGTATCACTGTACGCCTATCCCTTGTATGTATTAATATCGGACATTTGTGCATCACTGTACGCCTATCCCTTCTGTGTATTAATATCGGACACCTGTGTATCACTGTACGCCTATCCCTTCTGTGTATTAATATCGGACACCTGTGTATCACTGTACGCCTATCCCTTCTGTGTATTAATATCGGACACCTGTGTATCGCTGTACACCTATCCCTCCTGTGTATTAATATCGGACACCTGTGTATCACTGTACGCCTATCCCTTCTGTGTATTAATATCGGACACTTGTGTATCACTGTACGCCTATCCCTTCTGTGTATTAATATCGGACACCGGTGTATCACTGTACGCCTATCCCTCCTGTGTATTAATATCGGACACCTGTGTATCACTGTACGCCTATCCCTTCTGTGTATTAATATCGGACACCTGTGTATCGCTGTACACCTATCCCTCCTGTGTATTAATATCGGACACCTGTGTATCACTGTACGCCTATCCCTTCTGTGTATTAATATCGGACACTTGTGTATCACTGTACGCCTATCCCTTCTGTGTATTAATATCGGACACCGGTGTATCACTGTACCCCTATCCCTCCTGTGTATTAATATCGGACACCGGTGTATCACTGTACGCCTACCTCTTCTGTGTATTAATATCGGACACCTGTGTATCACTGTACACCTACCTCTTCTCTGTGTTCACATCGGGCACCTGTGTCGGGACTATTGTGCCCCCTCTGATGTGGACATTGATCTTGTCCAGCGGTGCACTGACCACTGTCCATCGACCTGTTTTGGACACTTCCGCCCCAGTGAAGAAATCGTACCACGTATCTTGAGGGAAGTAGGCATTCACTGTGGTGTGTCCCTGTACACGTAAGTTGACACAGCTGTTAGAATTATTCTTATCTTTAGTTAACAGGCTACAAGTAAATCTTACCTTTGTTATTTCTAATGCATTTGCACAAGTTAGATTTTTTATATCCTTGGGCCACCGCGTTATGCTTTTTTATGGAGATAAGGGCTTCGTAAGGTACGTCAGGACGAGTGCTTTCAAAATAAGTTCATCGTGAAAATAAAATCAGCCCTACTAAAACATACGCTTTTAAAGACTGCCTTGTGAATGATGTAATTGCTATATTTTTTTAATAGATTATATTAAATTTAATTAAATTTAGATTTTTTGAAACAAGAATAAACATAACTGTCAGATATTTTTCAAGGACATAATTGAGAGTGTGAGAACTGTAGTTTTTCTGTATTTTTTTCAAGTTAACAGAAGCTTAGCAACTGCCACCTTTCAACCTTTCAATAATTCCACCTGTATTGCGACTTATGTTTATATACACGGGGTCGGATGCACTTACCCTGTCTAAAGCGCGTATTTGAAGCAAAGGTTGCAAAATGAATTGGACAGATACAAAACAGTATAAGTGTTATAGAATTGTTGAAATGGTTGATTTTCTTGTTGACGGCTATGTGTCTTCCCAAGAATTCGTAGAATCTTAAACACAGACAGCAAAGGAAAGAAAACGAATCTACCCTGTTTAACACGGGACTAATCAGCAACGCGTCACCCCATAGAAACTGTTTATCTATGTTGTAGGCGGCGGAATCTGTAGGGTACCTGGAACAGCCGTAACGAACAATATTACCATAATGGTATATCATCATCATCATCATCATCATCATCATCATCATCACAACAATCACCACCACCACCACCACCATCCTCCTCCCCGTCCTCGTGACCTCCACCGCCATCTCCTGCACCACCATCTACCTCCTCCTCCTCCTCCTCCTCATCATCATCATCATCATCATTTCGTCGTCGTCATTATCATCATTATTGTAATAGTGGGTCACATGATTTTTTCAAAACACCAGCATTATATTATACGAAAAGCATCGTTTCCCAGTGTGACATAAGTACTGTGGTGGTTCCAGCAAGACAGGTGCTCTGTATTCCATGCTGGTCGAAAGAGCCCCTTTATAAGGAGTGGATGGTTATAATGTATCACCTGGCTCATAGTGTCTCACCCTACATGTACACAGAAGGCGCCGATCGTTGTTCAACCACTAGCTTGGCTGGTCCATACTCGATTAATCTCTGATTCCCTGACATAGACGGGATATAGCTGACTGGCGAAGTCATTCGCACATTCATTCTTTCATTCAGTGTGACATACGCACTGGAAGATGATAGGTCTGGCCACTGCACTCTTCTTGGACATCAGGGAGTAGAGGAAAGGTAGAAGACGGTAACGGAGTCTCAAGGCCTCGCGGTTCCGGTCATGCGCAGTGGAACTAAATCGAGTTGCTGCGGGATCTTTGTCCTGAAGGGAAGGGTGTCAAGCATTTGTTGTTGTCATTCTAACAGATGTATTTGTATTACTATTGCAGAGTATACAAGAGCAGATATTTGGTTTTGGTGATTTTGTTTCGTACAACTTAATCCAAAACACTTGTCCCCGAAGAAAATGTTGTTGAAAACAAATGCTGTCTCTGAATTTTATTTGTGTCATCAAGTGTAATAATCAAATGGAATACTGTTATAGGCAGCGTTAACCCCAACTCACTCACTATTACACCTGTTTGATGTACATGGCATATTTATGTCGACTCAACCCATAACATAATTCCATGCATTTTGTGATTATTGCTCAAGCTTTTTTATTTCTGTGACTAACAGACACTTTGCATCATGTCATATCTCTATCTGATGTCTAATAGACCGAGGATCATAATCGGTGATAATTTTGTATTGGATACCACGATTAGAGATCCCGCTATAGCCAAGAAGCAACTCTGCACAGCGTACGTCGGAATCTTTCCACTTGGTCATCTTAAGAAACAAATTAACCTACCGGTGACATGTGCGTGTTGTGTGATCTCATGAATGGGTAGAAGGCACCTAGTTGTAGCCATCTTGTGCACAGCTCCTCGTCAGAGTCGCCTCTGAACCCACAAATGTCCACGCCGATGAAGGGGATGCCGAACATGTTAAAGCTCAGAACCTCTGATAAATGAGATAGTTTGGATGAAGACACGGTGATTTCCTGGTTAACGAAATACGAGGCCTATTGTATTGAAAGATTTGATTGAATTGAGAAGTTACTGTGGGGAGTTGTGAGTGAGTGAGTGAGTTTTGGTTTTACGCCGCTTTTAGCAATATTCTAGCAATATCACGGCGGGGGACACCAGAAATGGGCTTCACACATTGTACCCATGTCGGGATTCGAACCCGGGTCTTCAGCGTGACGAGCGAACGCTTTAACCACTAGGCTACCCGACCGCCCCGTGGGGAGTTGTGGGAGGAAGCCTTCACTGACTCGAAGTCACGAACACCAGGGGGATATTCCTCAAAGTATAAGTCTGACCTGGTATAGAGTAGTACAAGTCTGACATGGTATAGAGTAGTACAAGTCTGACCTGGTATAGAGTAGTACAAGTCTGACCTGGTCTAAAGTAGTACAAGTCTGACCTGGTATAGATTATTACAAGTCTGACCTGGTATAGAGTAGTACAAGTCTGACCTGGTATAGAGTAGTACAAGTCTGACCTGGTATAGAGTAGTACAAGTCTGACCTGATATAGAGTAGTACAAGTCGTGCCTGATATAGAGTAGTACAAGTATGACCTGGTATAGAGTAGTACAAGTCTGACCGGGTATAGAGTAGTACAAGTCTGACCTGGTATAGAGTAGTAAAAGTCTGACCTGGTATAGAGTAGTACAAGTCTGACCTGGTATAGAGTAGTACAAGCATGAACTGGTCTAGAGTAGTACAAGTCTGACCTGTTATTGTGGTACAAGTCTGACCTGGTATAGAGTAGTACAAGTCTGACCTGATATAGAGTAGTACAAGTCGTGCCTGATATAGAGTAGTACAAGTCTGACCTGGTATAGAGTAGTACAAGCATGAACTGGTCTAGAGTAGTACAAGTCTGACCTGTTATTGTGGTACAAGTCTGACCTGGTATAGAGTAGTACAAGTCTGACCTGATATAGAGTAGTACAAGTCGTGCCTGATATAGAGTAGTACAAGTCGGGCCTGATATAGAGTAGTACAAGCATGAACTGGTCTAGAGTAGTACAAGTCTGACCTGGTATAGAGTAGAACAAGTCTGACCGGGTATAGAGTAGTACAAGCATGAACTGGTCTAGAGTAGTACAAGTCTGACCTGTTATTGTGGTACAAGTCTGACCTGGTATAGAGTAGTACAAGTCTGACCTGATATAGAGTAGTACAAGTCGTGCCTGATATAGAGTAGTACAAGTCGGGCCTGATATAGAGTAGTACAAGCATGAACTGGTCTAGAGTAGTACAAGTCTGACCGGGTATAGAGTAGTACAAGTCTGACCTGGTATAGAGTAGTACAAATCTGACCTTGTATAGAGTAGTACAAGTCTGACCAGGTATAGAGTAGTACAGGTTTGACCTGGTAGAGAGTAGTACAAGCCTGACCTTGTATAGAGTAGTACAAGTCTGACCTGGTATAGAGTAGTACAGGTCTGACCAGGTATAGAGTAGTACAAGCCTGACCTTGTATAGAGTAGTACAAGTCTGACCTGGTATAGAGTAGTACAAGTCTGACCAGGTATAGAGTAGTACAGGTCTGACCTGGTAGAGAGTAGTACAAGCCTGACCTTGTATAGAGTAGTACAAGTCTGACCTGGTAAAGAGTAGTACAAGTCTGACCTGGTAAAGAGTAGTACAAGTCTGACCTGATATAGAGTAGTACAGGTCTGACCTGGTATAGAGTAGTACAATTCTGACCTGATATAGAGTAGTACAAGTCGGGCCTGATATAGAGTAGTACAAGTCTGACCTGGTATAGAGTAGTACAAGTCTGACCAGGTATAGAGTAGTACAAGTCTGACCAGGTATAGAGTAGTACAAGTCTGACCTGGTATAGAGTAGTACAAGTCTGACCAGGTATAGAGTAGTACAAGTCTGACCTGGTATAGAGTAGTACAAGTCTGACCTGGTATAGAGTAGTACAAGTCTGACCTGGTATAGAGTAGTACAAGTCTGACCTGATATAGAGTAGTACAAGTCCGACCTTGTATAGAGTAGTACAAGTCTGACCTGGTAAAGAGTAGTACAAGTCTGACCTGATATAGAGTAGTACAGGTCTGACCTGGTATAGAGTAGTACAATTCTGACCTGATATAGAGTAGTACAAGTCGGGCCTGATATAGAGTAGTACAAGTCTGACCTGGTATAGAGTAGTACAAGTCTGACCAGGTATAGAGTAGTACAAGTCTGACCTGGTATAGAGTAGTACAAGTCTGACCTGGTATAGAGTAGTACAAGTCTGACCAGGTATAGAGTAGTACAAGTCTGACCTGGTATAGAGTAGTACAAGTCTGACCTGGTATAGAGTAGTACAAGTCTGACCAGGTATAGAGTAGTACAAGTCTGACCTGGTATAGAGTAGTACAAGTCTGATCTGGTATAGAGTAGTACAAGTCTGACCTGGTATAGAGTAGTACAAGTCTGACCTGGTATAGAGTAGTACAAGTCTGACCTGGTATAGAGTAGTACAAGTCTGACCAGGTATAGAGTAGTACAAGTCTGACCTGGTATAGAGTAGTACAAGTCTGATCTGGTATAGAGTAGTACAAGTCTGACCTGGTATAGAGTAGTACAAGTCTGACCTGGTATAGAGTAGTACAAGTCTGACCAGGTATAGAGTAGTACAAGTCTGACCTGGTATAGAGTAGTACAAGTCTGACCTGGTATAGAGTAGTACAAGTCTGACCTGGTATAGAGTAGTACAAGTCTGACCTGGTATAGAGAAGTACAAATCTGACCTGGTATAGAGTAGTACAAGTCTGACCTGGTATAGAGTAGTACAAGTCTGACCAGGTATAGAGTAGTACAAGTCTGACCTGGTATAGAGTAGAACAAGTATGAACTGGTCTAGAGTAGTACAAGTCTGACCTGGTATAGAGTAGTACAAGTCTGACCAGGTATAGAGTAGAACAAGCATGAACTGGTATAGAGTAGAACAAGTCTGACCTGGTATAGAGTAGTACAAGTCTGACCTGGTATAGAGTAGTACAAGTCTGACCTGGTATAGAGTAGTACAAGTCTGACCTGGTATAGAGTAGTACAAGTCTGACCTGGTATAGAGTAGTACAAGTCTGACCTGGTATAGAGTAGTACAAGTCTGACCTGGTATAGAGTAGTACAAGTCTGACCTGGTATAGAGTAGAACAAGTATGAACTGGTCTAGAGAAGAACAAGTCTGACCTGGTATAGAGTAGAACAAGTCTGACCGGGTATAGAGTAGTACAAGTCTGACCTGGTATAGAGTAGAACAAGCATGACCTGGTATAGAGTAGAACAAGCATGAACTGGTATAGAGTAGAACAAGTCTGACCTGGTATAGATTATTACAAGTCTGACCTGGTATAGAGTAGTACAAGTCTGACCTGGTAGAGAGTAGTACAAGCCTGACCTGGTATAGAGTAGTACAAGTCTGACCTGGTATAGAGTAGTACAAGTCTGACCTTGTATAGAGTAGTACAAGTCTGACCTGGTATAGAGTAGTACAAGTCTGACCTGGTATAGAGTAGTACAAGTCTGACCAGTCAGCAAAGTTGTCTCCTTCCCAGTGTGCGACGTAATTGCCACTTCCCACAAAGGTAGAGCGAGATAATATAAATGGCCTTTTCTGCAAGATGTTTTTCAGAACGCTGAAACGAAAGCAACAAGGAAGTAGACAAGTAGTAGTTGCTAGTTCGTAAGTAAGTAATCGTAAGTACATTGCTAAAATAATACTGAGGCTAGGGTTGTCGGGACTACCTAACTGCATGTGACACCTCCTGTATCTGCATTGTTCCTATTTGTATGTCGTCTTAAATAACATCCTAAATAATTCTGTAGCCTAACTGTACGTTGTTTAACACTGTTGCTAGTACCAACTTGTATGTTATTCCTAACTGATACTGATTCATACTTGAATGTTATTCCTAACTGATGCTGATTCCTACTTGTGTGTTATTCCTAACTGCTGCTGGTTCCTACTTGTGTGTTATTCCTAACTGCTACTGATTCCTACTTGTATGTTATTCCTAACTGATTCCTACTTGTATGTTATTCCTTACTGATTCCTACTTGTATGTTATTCCTAACTGGTGCTGGTTCCTACGTGTATGTTGTTCTACACTGTTGCTAACACTTACTTGTGTGTTATTCCTAACTGGTGCTGGTTGATACGTGTATGTTATTCCTCTGTTTTTGGTACCTACACATGTGTGTCTCTGCTGTCGGTACCTACATGTATGTGGCTCTGTTGTTGGTACCTACATGTACGTGACTCTGCTGTTGGTATCTACCTGTATGTGACTCTCTTGTTGGTACCTAAATGTATGTGACTCTGTTGTCGGTACCTTCATGTATGTGACTCTGTTGTTGGTACCTACCTGTATGTGCCTCTGTTGTTGGTACCTACATGTATGTGGCTCTGCTGTTGTACCAACGTACATATGACTCTGCTGTTGGTACCACCTGTATGTGGCTCTGCTGTTGTACCTACGTACATATGACTCTGATGTTGGTATCTACATGTATGTGACCCTGCTGTTGTACCTACGTACATATGACTCTGCTGTTGGTACCGCCTTTATGTGGCTATGCTGTTGTACCTACGTACATATGACTCTGCTGTTGGTACCACCTGTATGTGGCTCTGCTGTTGTACCTACGTACATATGACTCTGCTGTTGGTATCTACATGTATGTGGCTCTGCTGTTGGTACCTACGTACATATGACTCTGCTGTTGGTACCACCTTTATGTGGCTCTGCTGTTGTACCTACGTACATATGACTCTGCTGTTGGTATCTACATGTATGTGACTCTGTTGTTGGTACCTTCATGTATGTGACTCTGTTGTTGGTACCTACATGTATGTTACTCCGTTGTTGGTACCTACATGTATGTGACTCTGTGATTGTTACCTACGTACATATGACTCTGTTATCGGTACCTACCTGTATGTGACTCTGTTGTTGGTGCATATATGTATGTGACTCTGTTGTTGGTACGTACCTGTATGTGACTCTGTTGTTGGTACCTACATGTATGTGACTCTGCTGTTGGTACCTATATGTATGTGACTCTGTGGTTGTTACCTACGTACATACGACTCTGCTGTTGGTACCATCTGTATGTGACTCTGTTGTTGGTACATACCTGTATGTGACTCTGCTGTCGGTACCTACATGTATGTGACTCTGTTGTTGGTACATACATGTATGTGACTCTGTTGTTGGTACCTACATGTATGTGACTCTGCTGTTGGTATCTACATGTTTGTGACTCTGTTGTTGGTACCTTCTTGTATGTGACTCTGCTGTTGGTATCTACATGTATGTGACTCTGTTGTTGGTACCTTCATGTATGTGACTCTGTTGTTGGTACCTACGTACCTATGACTCTGCGGTTTGTACCTACCTGTATGTGACGCTGTGGTTGTTACCTACGTACATACGACTCTGCTGTCGGTACCTTCATGTATGTGACTCTGTTGTTGGTACCTACCTGTATGTGACTCTGTTGTTGGTACCTACGTACCTATGACTCTGCGGTTGGTACCTACGTACATATGACTCTGTTGTTGGTACCTTCATGTATGTGACTCTGTTGTTGGTACCTTCATGTATGTGACTCTGTTGTTGGTACCTTCATGTATGTTACTCTGTTGTTGGTACCTACCTGTATGTTACTCTGTTGGTAGTACCTTCATGTATGTGACTCTGTTGTTGGTACCTTCATGTATGTGACTCTGTTGTTGGTACCTTCATGTATGTGACTCTGTTGTTGGTACCTACCTGTATGTGACTCTGTTGTCGGTACCTACGTACATATGACTATGTGGTTGGTACCTACGTACATATGACTCTGTTGTCGGTACCTACCTGTATGAGACTCTGTTGTTGGTACATACGTACATATGACTCTGTGGTTGGTACCAACGTACATAAGACTCTGTTGTTGGTACCTACCTGTATGTGACTCTGTTGTTGGTACCTACGTACATAAGACTCTGTGGTTGGTACCAACGTACATATGACTCTGTTGTCGGTACCTACCTGTATGAGACTCTGTGGTTGGTACCTACGTACATAAGACTCTTCTGTCGGTACCTACCTGTATGTGACTCTGTTGTCGGTACCTACCTGTATGTGACTCTGTTGTTGGTACCTACGTACATAAGACTCTGCTGTCGGTACCTACCTGTATGTGACTCTGCTCTCAAAGTATCCGTACAGATTATGCAGGTTGTAGTGTAACCCTTCATGGAACTTGGCAGACATGCACAGGGTCTTGGCAGTGATGCTTCCTCCATCCAAGGCTGATTCAAGATGTGAATATTATTTGTATATTGTAGTAGCATTGTAGCTTAATATATCTTTTTTTCCAGAATAGGACACAACGTAAGATAATGGGCGGTAGACGATTATTACACTACAGTGTGGCATATCACACACAAAGAAGGGTAACTAAAATAGTTAAGTTCATTGGATAAGCTGGTCTCAGGTGAAATTGGGTTTAAGGATTAGTGCACTTATAAAGTGAGTGTGAGTGTGTGTGTGTGTGTGTGTGTGTGTGTGTGTGTGTGTGTGTGTGTGTGTGTGTGTGTGTGTGTGTGTGTGTTAGAGAGTGTTTGTGTGTGTGTGTTTGTGTGCGTGCGTGCGTGTGTGTGTGCGTGTGTGTGTGTGTGTGACCAGTCTTTTTGGATGCCCTAAATGTAGAACGGTGGACAGAGAAATGACAAGTACTTTCTTTAAAAGTCTTTTTGTCTGACGCGGTCGGGATCGAATCACCGAAATTCTGCTCTCTGTACAGAGGCTCTATCCACTAGATCCATGAGGCGGTCGGACACAACTCGACGTACATGGTATGCAAGATGGGGTTTGGGTACCTTTTTCTTCCCAAAGAAAGATTCCAACGGAGGAGCAGGATAGCTTCAAGGACATTGACCAGTGGAGCAGTTGTTCAATGTGTAAGATGGGGCACTGGGAACAAATTGTGACCATGGGGCTAGATCGAAATACAAGCAATTGGAGATACCAGAAGTTGGACATACGTGGTGTGTAGGGCGGGTTCTCCAGGGTGTTGCTGCCACATCCTGTCTCAGATCCGTCCTTGAAGTTGGACGGCTCGTTCATGTCCTGCAGACATATAATGTTTTACTATATGCTCAACGTCTTTACTGAAGGGTCACCTAGGTGTGTAGGGTGTCAAACATGAACATGTACCAACAGGCGTCAAGAGGTATGTGTATGTTGACAATGTGATTCACAGTAGAAGAACACGTTGTGTATGTCTTTGTTCTATGGATGTTTCTTTTATGAATCAGGAAAAATAACAATGAAAAATGATTGAAGGTGTTAGAAAAGGCTACCAAAAAACATCCCTGAAACAACTAGAGATTTAGCCTTGCCCTTCACGTGCCATACCTGACCAGTAAAAGTCAACAGTTCATTGCAGATACGTTTAGTATGTCTGTGTCCCACTAACTGAATGCTTTTATGAAACTAGAAAAAAACCCAATGAAAATAATTGAAAGAAAAAGCTACCAAAACACACGCCTGAAACAACCAACGTGTAATATATGACAAGTAAAAGTCAATGTGTGGATAACGGGTTCATTACAGAAGAACTGAACTGCACTCTTGGAAGATGATAATGCGACGTTTATCACTTATAATCTGCGTGTATACTAACTTCGTATTAAATCGTACACCAGTCTGACGCACATCCCCCGGCATACCTAAACTTAAACCATCTGCCCATTGTTAAATTGCATCTACTTGATATAGGAACTGTATCCATGTAATCGAAACTAAAGATACAGATGAACATCAATGTGCCAAAATCTGATGTGTCGAACTAGTGGTACGCTTCTATTGCATTTCCTCATTTGACCTCTGATATTTGTTTGTATTATATGACAAATGCTTTGACACGTCATGGAAATCATGAACCCAAATTTCATCACTATTAATGTGAAAATATAAGTCTTGTTCATTATATCATTCATTTATTGATAACTAGATTGATTCCATATTCCTGTTACCATATGCATGAACCTGTTATCAGATTTTTATACTGTAGTCCACGAACGATGTCATTCTTGTGTTGTCAACTATAAGGTTGAACAGCTGTATCTGGTTGTGTCTGAAAAATTCGTCGCCTCTTTTCTCATGTCCGTGTGCGTTCAACAGAGTTGTTCTACTGTATACCATACTAGGTTCACACTTTTTGTTACATACGAAACCTGGACACAGATTGCTGCTAACAATGAAACAGAATGGAAAATCAAGCAATAATGTGAAATGTGACTACGACATCCTCTAAGAGGGATGACTTTCGACTTATTATTTGTGTATGGCATTCCTTGTGTACTTACAATCCAGAGGCCATCAAATGGAAGCTTAGCGTGCATGATCTGAGCGTGTTTCTGCCACCATGCTTCAGTATTGGGGTGAGTGAAATCTGGGAACACCGTCTTCCCCGGCCACACCTGCCACAGGTACAGACCAATCAGTACGTGTTCTCACATTCAGGTCCGACAAGGCATAAAACCTGTCTTCACAAAATTACAAATTGGCATAAAAAGTTCAGGTTTATTTTCATTGCCAAAAGTTTTCTGAAGCATTTTATCATTTAGAAGGAAAGGACTCTTCTGTTGTATCTGTATTCACGAAGGGACAAAAATGTACTTTGAAACAATAAAAAAGTTATTAAGCCCATACTACTTTCATATCTAAATGATGTTTTCAATTTCAAACTGATACCCTTTCACTGAAAATGGAATTCATAAAGTCATTGTTAAAACACTCATAGTTATAAACAGTTTTCCAATTTGCTTGCCACGTTATTCAGTTGAAAAGATAAATTATTTTTGAGTGATAAATCTTAAATTCTGCACGATTATTCTACATACATGTTCGTTGATATATGCAGTTTCGAGGTAATCTCGGTGTTTCACCATGACCGCTTCAATCGCCGTATGACTAAATGTGTACCCCTTCGTTCCTCAGACGTGCACGTACAAAAATATGTACTACTATTGTGATTGTATTGCGAGTTCACTTACGCTTGCATATTTCAACATAATGTTGAGACCTACAGTTGTTATATACATGTAAGTATGGATTGAGTTCTGATCATTGGTTCAAATATCATTTTAATTGTATCTATACAAATATGTGTTTGGAAAAAAAATACGAAACATAAACTACTACATAATGCCAGAAGTGTTTGTTATATTCATGGCGTGGGCTATTGCTCGCCGAACCGTTACGGGTTAGTTCTTAATATTCTCAAAGTACATATAGACTTCGCAAGATATTACTTATTGGAAACTACGTTAAAACATCGCAAGGTACGAGTCTCAAGAGAGGTTTAATCTTTGTAAGGTCTGTTTGAACTTCGTATGGTGCAGGGCGGCACGGCAGGCCCAGTCGTCTCAGGCACCGCGATTCGCTGCGCAGAGTTGCGTCCCTTGGGCACGCCAGGAACCTATGATTGTGGGTTCGAATCCCGGTTCGCCCCGATTATGTTTCTAGGTTTTTTAACACTATACCCGTGCTCGTGGGTTTCACTGAAGTGGTAAACGCCTTCTTACGTATCACCAAGTTGAAAGTATGTAATGACAACCCACCTCTCCCACAACAAGAGCAGATCCATCGGCAGTCTTCACGAAGATATCATCTGTTACGCCATCGTCATACGGGGCATACTTACCCCTAGGCTGGGTATTGCTGATGCCGGGATCCTGGAATGTACGTGTCCGTTAGTCACCCACCATGTTGGGGTGGGGGTGGGGGTGGGGGTGGGGGTGGGGGTGGGGATGTGAGGTTTGGCTGGGTCTGAGATCGTTCTTACAGACAGGTTATTTGTCGGCCATTCTTACAACATCCGCAGAGCTGTCAGGTGCGAGGATCGCTTCATTTCCATTTGGGGTTTAATGGGCAAACTAATTCCAACATTGATTCAAACCATACCACGTTTCTTATTATCAAAAGAGTTTGTGTTTAATGCGTCATGGCTTTAAATTCAATTTAGTGCCGTTAAATCAGCTCTACATTGAAAACACTTTTTCAGTCATATGACGTTTTGGTAAATGATAGAGTCTGGACCAGTGTCAATACGATGTATTGGATTTGAACATGAGTGAGTGAGTGAGTGAGTTAATATTTAACGTCACATCGACAATATTTCAGCCATATCGTGACGAGAAGTACATTAATAATACATAATATAAAAAGCTGTCAACAAAGGACAGTACAATAACTAGAATATCACAGAATATATTTAAAACTAGTTGAGAATATATAAAAGTCATAAGTATCAGAGAACACAATATAAAAATGGGCTAGAGATCACCAGCAACTGAAGGTAGATCACCATGCTGGGGTCCATGGGGACTTACAGTACCTTTGCTTCCTGCATGGACCCCGGCAGGATTTATATCATCCCTTCAGTCACTGGCGACTGTGTACAAATTAAGCCAAACTAAAATGACGAATATTCTACGATTAAAAACCTGGCATGCAGAAAAATACTTTGAATGATATGGGACTTACATACCCTCTTAGGGGGACAATAATTTTACGTTACTTCAACCCCCCTCGAGGGTACGGCCACTAACAATCTTAGTTATGAATTTTGCACTACCAATCTTTAAAACAATACAACAATTACATCAAAATTTATGTATGATTTGAACATGATCTATTTAGTCGCACAGGCTGCTTGTCAGGACTGGTGACTTATTTGGTTGTTCCCTGCCTGATATCAACAAGCGGTCTGTCTGGTTCAGACGTTATTGTTTACAGGCCGTCGTGTTATAAACGAAACCAATATGCAAAACCCACACCTGGTGTCACGGATGTCGTTGTAGTGTTAGTTTGTAGTTACAGTAAACTACGGTTATAACGAACACGCTTATAACGAACTGACGGATATAACGAACTTACTTTTTGGTCCCGACTACTTGCTGTAGTCATGCTGTATATGTACTTATAACGAACTACGGTTATAACGAACTAAAACTAGTAGTCCCTTTGAGTTCGTTATAACCGTACTTTACTGTAGTTCTGAAACTTCCATTGTTAGTGTTGGGCTTTTGTTACGTCGCATTACAATAATATCCTTTCAAAAATAGACGTTTCTCATATAAGTCCTTTCAAGAACTTACCAATATTATAACATATTTCTCCCCATGGCTGTGGACATCCTTGACAATGTCCGGCAGCTGACCATACATCTTGATGTCGTAGGTCCAGTCCATCTCCTTGACCATGTAGTCGATGTCGTTCCAGATGGCGTCCTTATGAAGAAATGAATATTTAAAACTCGTTCCTTATGAATGCAGATATCTGAGATGAATGATAGTAGATTATTTGAACTTAATGTTTGTCCCTTTTAACCTTGCTGACTGTCATCATCGATAAATGAACCTCGGGAGCTGTTTGTGTGTTGATGTCAATGTCTGGACCCCTGATCAATTGCACAAACACTAACTCACACAAACACTTTTGTTTGTTTGTTTGTTTGTTTGTTGTTTAACGCCGCACTCAGCAGTAATTCTAGCTATGTGACGGCGATCTGTAAATAATCGACGTTACCACTTACCACGTTTGAAGACAGAGGACGTACGTAAAGTACGTGACGATAAGTGGAAATATCTTATGTTAAAGATGCATAAGAGAAATATGAGTACAGATCAGGATCACATTGGAGACACGTTTACGTCCATGAGAAATGCTGGTCAACGTCGAAGAATCACAGAACAAATAAAACCTCTTGATACTAAGAATAATCTTCTAATGCTCTTTTAGGGGCGGTCGGGTTACTCTGGTGGTTAAAGTGGTCGCTCGTCACGCCGAAGACCGGGTTCGCTTCCCGACATGGGTACAATATGTGAAGCCCATTTCTGGTGTCCCCCGCCGTGATATTGCTGGAATATTGCTAAAAGCGGCGTAAATCCATACTCACTCACTCACTAATGCTATTCTACATCTTGTAAATGTTACCTACAAATGGCATATTCTTGTTCCTCATCCTCTGTAGAGTTGCGTTCATCCCGCTTGATCCGCCATAATCCCACCTACTCAGGTGGTAACCTAGCGACCAGTAAGGCGGAAGTGGTGGCTGTCCAATCAGAGCCCAGTATTGATCGATGACGTCATCCGGCGTGGGACCAGTGAAAACATAGAAGTCCAGTATTCCACCAAGGGCTCGGTAGCGAATTGTCACAGGACTGGTAGGAAGAAGGTCTATACCTGCACGCATGCGATAAGGGGAATATGGCATTGAAGCTTTATTCTCCAGTTACTGTGGCAACTATCTCCGTGCTATGTCACGCAATTACCATAAATAATCAAAACTTATAGCATTTGCAGTTGTATTGCTATTAAAAAAAGTTCGAACAAAATGTGCCAAACTTAATAACAGTAGGGAAAATGACCAGACTCGGCGACTTGGTTGATTACGTTTCATCGCTTCATCATTTCATCATTTCATCATTTCATCATTTCATCTATCTCCCTTTAGTTACTCACAATATATAGCCCATTTTTATATTGTGTGTTTGACTATACTTTCTTCTTTTAAATGTTCTCAAGTAGTTTTAAACGAAATCTGTGATATTCTAGTTATTGTACTGTCTTTCGATGACAGGTTTATATTAAGTCTAAATATATTAATTTTTAATGAATGACTTCTCGTCACCATATGACTAAAGTATTGCCGATGTGACGTTTAATGCTAACTCAATCACCCACTCATCATTTCATCGACGGTCTAATCAGTTGCCAATATTTACCACCACTTGTGAAAGGCTGACGTGACAGGCCCCGAATATAACGGTCTATCACATTAACGACATTCACCCCGGGCAAAGGAAATATCATAACAGATGGATAGGGTGGAAACGCTCGCTGAATTGGTACCCCGACGGCGTAAATCGGTGCTCATGATATCAATCACTGAAATGTCAGGTCCATACTCGATTATTTACCGGCCGCTGTCCCATATCTAGAAAATTACCGAGTACGCTATTAAACGACAGACAGGCAGACAGTAATTGTGTGCATAGGTTGGAATCTGCAACATGATGATATACAAAGTGTATAATTATAGAAACTGTCTTTCAAGTGGTAATATACATGTACGTGGCAGCTGAACACATAGCATTATACTTATTGCCACTACATTTATCGGTATAACAAGGGACATATTGTCACTAGATGCATCAGTATAACATATTGTCACTACTTACGCAGCGCGTTGCTGTTAAGGAGGAATATCCCAAAGGCGTCCCCGTTTGGTTCTATTCCGAGCACAAACGGGTGGCTTCCGTACAGATTGGTGTTGATCTAGGCGACAGAAACCATGAGACAGGAACTATGACAACATGGCTGTTAATATTTTATAAATCAATCCACGAGAAATTACTGATTATCCGTCCCGGGTGGGTTATTTTTGGCAAGGGGCATGATTTCAGGCAAACTAGTGGTTGATTTTAGGGTCACACACACACACACACACACACACACACACACACACACACACACACACACACACACACACACACACACACACACACACACACACACACACACACACACACACACACTTTGGAAATTTGTAAATACACAACGAAGGGTAACTACAACTTTTAAATTCCTTGGATAGGCTGGTCTCGGGTGAAATTAGGTTTCAAGATTAGTGCACTTATACAGTGTGTGTGTGTGCGTGTGCGTTTGCGTGTGCGTGTGCTTGTGCGTGTGTGTGTGCGTGAGTGTGTGTGTGTGTGTGTTTGTGTGTAGGGATCATGTCATGAGCCCAGAGGGAGTAGCCAGGACACACACACGCACAAATACAGACGCACAAACACACACACACACACACACACACACACACACACACACACACACACACACACACACACACACACACACACACACACACACACACACACACACACACACACACACACACACACACACACACACACACACACACACACACATACACACACACACACACACACGCACACACACACACACAAAACATAGGAGAAATATACCCCGCTCACCTTAGGGATGATGTCATGAGCCCAGAGGGAGTAGCCAGGACTCTGCTCCAGTGGGATCCGGAAAGGTTTCCTGTTTTCTCCAATCCCGTACAAGTTGGTGGTCGGCAACCCGACTGAGATCTGTAGCATCTGGTCGGAGAAGATCAGGGGAGCGAGACTCGCATCAAACCTTCAACAGAAGATTGAAAATGAGGGGAGCAAGACTCGCATCAAACCTTCAACAGAATATTGAAGATCAGAGGTACTCTACTCGCGTCAAACCTTCAACAGAATATTGAAGATCAGAGGTACTCTTCTCGCGTCAAACCTTCAACAGATCATTGAAGATAAGAGGTACTCTTCTCGCGTCAAACCTTCAACAGATCATTGAAGATCAGAGGAGCGAGACTCGCGTCAAACCTTCAACAGAATATTGAAAATGAGGGGAGTGAGACTAGCGTCAAACCTTCAACAGAATATTGAAGATCAGAGGTACTCTACTCGCGTCAAACCTTCAACAGATCATTGAAGATCAGAGGAGCGAGACTCGCGTCAAACCTTCAACAGAATATAGAAAATGAGGGGAGCGAGACTTGCATCAAACCTTCAACAAAATATTGAAGATCAGAGGTACTCTACTAGCGTCAAACCTTCAACAGAATATTGAAGATCAGAGGAGCGAGACCGGCTTCAAACCTTCAACTAAACATTGTGAAAAGATGATGATGACGTATTGTTGACATTAAACCTTCAACAAAATATAGTTTTGTATTAATGTTGACAGAGATTGATGCCTGAGGTTTCACAATAACTCACAGAACACTCTTCGTTGACTTCCTGGTGACGGTGAGGCCGAAGGGATTGTGGTCGATATTGTAGGTGTAATCAGTGTGTTGCGAAGAACCGGATACCTTGTTGAGTGGTAGGGGAACCTCATAGCGCTTGTTGTTGGGGTCGTATATCTGTGGAATGAAATATGCTTGCGAAGGATGAATAAATAATCGCTTTTGCCGTCATTTGTGTTTAAACTACGAAAGATTTAGTTAGAATTTAATTCATATTTTAAGACTGTCAAGAACAAAGACGCCGATATACGCAGTAAGCAATTGTATTTTGTGAAGGACCGATGCAATTCCCTATTTTGAATTTTCCCACGTGTTCCCATGTTTGAACACTTGAAATGCCCTTGCACGTGTTTGTGATGGATGCAACTAGTGGGACTAGGAATGCTCAACTTTTCGCGAACACCTGTTTTCATCATCATTTGATAGTGATATTTGATATTATTTGGTCATAAACACATGCTAATGAAACAGTTGGAAACGTACCAATGTCCGCGTGTGCAATCAAGGAAGACGTGACACTGTACGATAAATTATATTGAGAGTTTTGTATGTGATATATATAAGTCTACATAAATACGGGTCACTTAATTAGTGTGAACAAGGGAGAGTTCCATTTTTCAATTATTTTCCGTCCATTAATGTCATGGCTTTACAGTTCTGGACTATGTCCATTAGAAGTCATGAAAACGGATATACCAAAATATAATTCTGAAACATCATCATAAAAGCGCCGCCATTTGTTATTATATCGCTCAAGACATAGAGGTAGAATTATAAATTCTGACGAGGAGTATATTAAATTCATTGTGGCTTTAAGAACTTGAGGTATTGACTGGCGAGACCAGGAGCTTATTTGTGTTCATTTTGCCATCGTCTAGAAGGATGAATAACAAGGTTAAATGTCGCATTGAGGAAAACATGTTTGGTTATTTCATTACGTGTCAAGATTTGATGAAAAGTGGACACAGTCCTTGAAATTTACCGCTTTATTGGAACATTTGAACACGTCTAATCTGCTGACATAATAAGGCAATAACATAGATTCGAGCATACTGCAGGCATGTGGACAAGACCGCCAGGTCAACAAAACTCCAAATGGCAAATATAAGACTACATGTTAAAGTTGTTTGGGTATGTTCTTTCATCAACAAAATACCTTGATTTGGAGTCTACTACCAGTTTGCGCCACCACGTCAGCTTGTAAGTCCATGACGTCATGGGGCCAGTGTGTGTGTCGGTTTCTTGACAACAGCACAGACTTGCCATTGTTCATTACTTTCTGTACAGAGTAGTCTTCCCCTGTTGGATGGAAACAATAGGGGGCGCCCTTCACGCTAGTGGTTTGCCAGCAGCAACCACGTGACAGGCAGGCGGCTTCGCTTGCACCTGTTCCTGGGTGACAATCACTCCTTAAAGAAATGAGAAAAAGAAATATTAATAATTTGTACACTGTAACTCTAGACAAAAATGTGAAAGATAACATAAATTTGAACGAATCATCTTTTCGTACTTAAAGGTATATTTATGACATAACTTATCCACATAAACAAAACCAGACAATCACATAGCGACTGAATACAACTGATATAACTGTATATTGTTTCCGTCAGTATTACAATCTTTGAAACACATGTTGATTACAATCCATAATGATCTTACATACGAGGCGTGTTTTTGGTCTCATTTCGCTAAGTTAAGACAAGTGACAGACAGGTGGAGGACATTTCCAAACTTGATACACCAGTGACCAAAATGGTGTCCGATGCAATTCCTAGTTTCACTTGTTTAATTTCGCGAATACCTTGTGATTAATGAACGCATGCTAATGATATAATCGGAATCGTTCAATGAACTCTTCTTGTAGCAGAGGATTCTTATGATTATGGAAAGGGTTTGTTGCCACTATGTTTGCACGTGACTTCTTACAGGTAATGAGGGCGGTCGGGTAGCCTAGTGGTTAAAGCGTTCGCTCGTCACGCCGAAGACCCGGGTTCGATTCCCGACATGGGTACAATGTGTGAAGCCCATTTCTGGTGTCCCCCGCTGTGATATTGCTAAAACCGGCGTAAAACCATACTCACTCACTCACACTACAGGTAATGAAGGAGCAAGACATAACTCTGAAGCGTCGTTCTTAAAATAAAAGAATTAGCTATCCATAAAGTGTCATGTATTCATGTTCTCCCAACTTCTAAATGCCTATGCAAGACTTCATTCGACAACAACAAGATGGAGCTATAATTGAGATCAATCAGTACAACATCATCGTCCAGAAGAACATCAGGACCAACAACCACCCTGCCTTTCTACGACGCCTTCACCTGATGGAGGTGCTGGAAGTAGCTCTGAAACGTACTGATGATAAAGACGTTGCTATCCATAAAAAAAGTGTCATGTATTCATGAGGATATTATGTCACGCGTGTGTAGTTAAGGCTTTAGTAACATCGACATCCTCAGCATCTATACATACGGTTCAACACCAATTGGGACATTTCTAAAAGGGCAGTTATAGCCCACGAATGGTCTCCGTATATCCTCACAGTTCGTCCATTATAATCAGCTGTTAGATGTTCCATATGTCACTGTTGGGTGCAGATCAACCCGTTACAAACATCCGCCAATGCGTGTCGGTAAATATGCCTCTAACAAAGCCATTCTAGGAGAAACTGGTCGTACCAGTCTTTTTGTTTCATCCCAGCTATGGGCAGTTAAATATTGGATAAAGCTTCTTCGTATGAATTTAAATAGATTTCCTCTTCATTGTTATAATATGTTAAAAGCCTTGAATGAAAAGGGTAAATATTGTTTATGGGTGTCTGATATCAGAAATATTCTTTGTATGTCTGGTTTTTCTCTTGCATGGATATCTCAAGATGATGGAAATGATAAACTATTTATCTTCATGCTTAAGGAAAGATTAGTTGATATATTTTCACAAGTTTGGCACTGTCAAATATCATCCTCAAGGTTTTTATGCCATTATACGAATATAAAATCTTTATATACGAATATAAAATGTGTAGCTGTACTTCAGGATAGAACTTTGAGAAGATCTTTGTGTAAATTACGTATATCATTACATAATTTTAATGTTAACAATCTCAGAAAGAAAAATGCACAAGATAAAGAAAGTAGTTTATGCCGTTATTGTAATGAAGGCTATGTTGAGGATGAGTTTCATGTACTTCTCATTTGTAAATATTATCAGTTTCTTAGAAATAGATACCTCCCTATGATTTCAACTATGTACAAAGATGAACAACTGATGAGAAATTTGTTGAACTCCTGCAATGCAAATACAATATCATCTCTGTCAATATTCCTGAAGAGGATTTTTGAAATTAGACGTTAATATTTTATGTAAACTTATTATTACCTACACGTGACTGTACAATGTTGATACAAAAAAAACAACACTACTGTACTATAGGTCATATGGCCTAAAATATTGAATACACTTCTGTCTGTCTGTCTGTCTGCCAATGCTTACTGTAGGATTTAGAGAAGAAATTGGGTCCCAATATCCCAACTATGTCTGAGAAGAATTTAATCTGGGTTGGACAAACAATTACAGTATGACCAACGTCCCGTGCCGTCGGCACGATGATGCAGTCAACCAGGACATTGATATGCCCCTTATCCATTGTAAGTCTTCACTGACGACACTCATACACTGTATATATACGTGTACAGGACCGGCAACGTACCTGTGTTCGCCTGTGAGATGACACCGAGGTCCCGTAGCCCCTGAGGAGTAAAAGCACCATCGCACCACAGGGTCGTTGTTAGGAGGGCGTCTCCAGCAACACCCTCGGGCTTCACAGTTAGACTGAGACGCCCCGGGCTCTGGGTGACAGTCCGTTCGACTCTGGGGCTCCGTGCTGCATAGGTCTTGATCTCGCTGGGTAACCACATTTCCAGTCATGTTACCATAGATACCAAACCCGTGCAGCCATGTTGGTAATCCTACTAAGTACGTGACTTGTAGTATTATGACATGTTGTCGAGTCATTTCAACTATGAACTAAAAATGAGGTACAAGAATAGTCTCGACCTCTTAACTGAGATTGTGACTTTACAGTGTACATATACCTATGCCAGATAACACAAGATAGTGGACTGTGGAATGCACACCTGCTAGCTCTCATAATATAAATTACTTTACTATAGGTAAAGGTATTCTGTACCGAATGTCCATGCCTGTCTGTATCAAAAAATGTAACACTACCAACAATTTCTTAAACACATACAAAGCTAAAACGAATCTGTGTCCGTTGTCCACTTAAATATTTGATTGAGTGAGTCATTTGGGTTTAACGCCACTTTCAACATTATTCCAGTCATATCATAGTTAGCTTCATGTTGAATGAAACCCTGAAGTGATGCAGGTATAATTATGAGACGTTTACCACTTTAATCATACCCACGAGCACGGGTACAGTGCTGACAAAACAAGAAACATAATCGGGACTAACCGGGATTTGAACCCACGATCATAGGTTTCTGGCGAGCCCAAGGGACGAAACTCTGCATATCAAATTGCTACGACTGGGCCACCCATGCCACCCGACTGCATCTTCGAGAGATTACATTAATGCTTGGGTCCTCCAAATAGCATATCATTTGCCATGCATCTTTGAGACGTTCCCCTTAACTTGAGAACAGAACATGTATGACATGTAAGTGTGCTGCAAATAGGTTAAATATGCACCGCTTGTAGGGGGCACTTCTCGGCAGTTTGGAACACACGCCTACGTTTATCAAGAGGTATGTTGTCATTTGCAGACTAGAATGTCTATTACTATGACGCGACAGACATAGCAAAATCTATACAACTCTTGCTGTTCAGATACCCTATATAACTTCAGTGTTGATCGGTTGGCAAGTTATGTGTATACGTGGATATGGCTAGTGTTATATTTCAAGTGGTTGAGTATACACAGTGACCAATCTTGCTTTAAAGCAATAACCAGTGTTCTTCATGTAAATGCATCACTTAGATGACAATCTACTCATTACAACTGCATGATAATCTTCTGCTAAAAGCAGTCGTGTCAACGTTCATTAAAATTAAAAGTGGGACATATACGTATTTTGTTTTTGTGGTGTATTTTTCCAAACTATATAATGAGTGAATCATCTCCATATGCGTTCATATAACCAAAGATGCAATCTACATGATTCCTGTAAATTCAATTTTTATCCTAAAGAAGAGTCATGGCGACACGCTGCTTATCTTGAAGATGAACCATGTTAACGTTATGCCTTACGCTAGTGAAGAACCATGTGAACACCAAACTTTACCCTGAAGAAGCACCATCTCAAGAACATACTTTACCTTGAAGAAGAACCATGTCAACACCATACTTTACCCTGAAGAAGAAGCATGTGAACACCATACTTTACCCTGAAGAAGACTTATGTCATCACAATGCAATGAAGAAGGAGCACGTCAACAACAAACCTTTACCCTGAAGAAGAATCATGTCAACACCATACTTTACCCTAAATAAGAACCATGTAAACACCAAACTTTACCCTGAAGAAGAACCATGTCAACGCCATACTTTACCCTGAAGAAGAACAATGTCAACACCATACTTTACCCTGAAGAAGAACCATGTCAACACCATACTTTACGCTGAAGAAGAAGCACGTCAGCACCATACTTTAACCAGAAGAAGAAATATGTCAGCACCATAATTTACCCTAAAGAAGAACCGTGTCAGCACCATATTTTACCCCGAAAAAGAACCGTGTCAACACCATACTTTACCCTGAAGAAGAACCGTGTCAGCACCATATTTTACCCCGAAAAACAACCGTGTCAACACCATACTTTATGCTGAAGAAGATCCACGTCAACACCATACTTTACCCTAAGGAGAACCATGTCAACACCATACTTTACGCTGAAGAAGAACCATGTCAACACCATACTTTACGCTGAAGAAGAAGCACGTCAAGAACATACTTTAACCTGAAGAGGAAGCACGTCAAGCACCATACTTTACCCTGAAGATGAACCATGTCAACACCATACTTTACGCTGAAGAAGAACCATGTCAGCACCATACTTTAAGCTGAAGACGAATCATGTCAAGCACCATACTTTAACCAGAAGAAGAAATATGTCAGCACCATAATTTACCCTGAAGAAGAACCGTGTCAGCACCATATTTTACCCTGAAGAAGAACCGTGTCAGCACCATACTTTACGCTGAAGAAGAACCATGTCAGCACCATACTTTAACCAGAAGGAGAAATATGTCAGCACTATAATTTACCCTGAAGAAGAACCGTGTCAGCACCATACTTTAACCAGAAGGAGAAATATGTCAGCACTATAATTTACCCTGAAGAAGAACCGTGTCAGCACCATACTTTAACCAGAAGGAGAAATATGTCAGCACTATAATTTACCCTGAAGAAGAACCGTGTCAGCACCATACTTTACCCTGAAGAAGAATCATGTCAACACCATACTTTACGCTGAAGAAGAACCATGTCAGCACCATACTGTAACCAGAAGAAGAAATATGTCAGCACCATACTTTAAACAGAAGAGGAATCATGTCAACACCATAATTTACCCTGAAGAGATAGGTCAATTCTATGCTTTACTCTTATGTCAACACCATGTGTTGCCCTGAAGAAGAACCATGTCAACACCATTCTTTACCCTGGAGAAGAACCATGTCAAAACCATACTTTACGCTAAAGAAGACCCATGTAGGCACCATACTTTAACCAGAAGAAGACATATGTCAGCACTATAATTTACCCTGAAGAAGAACCATGTCAGCACCATACTTTACGCTGAAGAACCATGTCAACACCATACTTTACCCTGAAGAACCACGTCAACAACATACTTTACCCTGAAGAACCACGTCAACACCACACTTTAACCAGAAGAGGAATCATGTCAACACCATAATTTACCCTGAAGAACCATGTCAGCACCATAATTTATCCCGAAGAAGAACCACGTCAACAGCATACTTTACCCTGAAGAAGAACCATGTCAACACCACACTTTAACCAGAAGAGGAATCATGTCAACACCATACATTACCTGAAAAAGAACCATGTCAACACCATACTTTACCCTGAAGAAGAAGCATGTGAACACCATACTTTACCCTGAAGAAGAATTATGTCATCACAATGCGTTACACTACGGAACAACCATGTCAACACTGTGCGGTTTCCCTAAGGAGAATCATGAACAGTTTATTCACAAAACAAAACAGAGCTGCAAGTCAGGTCACCTCTAAGTTTATGGCAAGGAATACACTATGACAACCTGAAATGATTCGTTAGTTCTGAAAGAGTAGCACTAAATATATCCAGTATAACCTGTAGACTCAGACTATAACAGCTACCGCTCCCCGTGTGGATTCCGGGTTAGAATTAGGTCCCCTGCAACCGATGCTGGTCGTATGATACGACTGAATGAATCGGGTGGTCAGACACGGTGGCCTGGTTGATTACGGGTCTTCGTGCCCCGACGTCGTGGATCGTTGCTCACCATATCGATCACCCTATTGTCTGGGTCAGTTAAATCGCCACCTACATCAACCATAGTTTGTTGGAGACCTATTATAAACCGGGAATTATTTTGAAACATTCACCTAATGAAATGTTCCTTTGTTTACATTTCCAAAAGAATATGGTTATCAACAAATATAACATATTTGCTATCTTTATTCATATCTCATAGTTGCCTTTGCGACTTCCTATGATAACATTGGCCGTATATTATTGTATATCTCTCAATCACTCCATCACGGATCAGTTACAAGAAAAGTAAGTGCATTTTATTGTATAATGGGCAAGCTTCTTGGTAAGACAAGGCCAACGGATAAATATGATGTGGTTATTTGAGGATAAACAGGCACATGCACCCCGTTAGGTGGGTTCTATTTTCAGGGATTATAAACATGCATGGTCCTTCCAGTCAGAATTGACAGTCGGGGATCTAGACAAGTTACTGTGATAATTGGCAAAATAATAACGTCTTACTGGGGACAAGCAGAGGTCTTTTCCAAATGTAACAGCAATTTATCGAAGTCAGAGATATCAGTGTCCATACTATGTTCTTGTAGACCTCTGCGGATTGGGATCTTTTCCCGAATTTAAAACAACTGGTCCAAATATGTCGCCAGATCCAGCTAAATACAATATTTATTACTAATACAGCCTAGTATCCATCCCAAACGACACACGCGTGATAGCCTCTATTTCTCACACAGTCAAGACCTATTTCAACAAGGTGTGGCCAATACATATTCTGTACAAAGACGCAAAAACTGATTATTCTGACTTTGATGAACTACATGTACATGACGACATTAGTTGTACAAATGGCTTTGTCAATAACACACAGCGCGAAGAGTTATCCAGTGTCGTAGTGTGTTTGTTTTGCAGAATTGCTTTCCCTAATTGCGCATGGATCTGCCTATTGTTTGCTTAAATCGGACAACTGGACTGTCAGTCCCATAATCTTCTTATTCGCGTTACCATCCCCACCCACCCCCACACACCCAAAATTTACAAGACGTGATCTGACACTAACTTACTCATTCACTGACTTCAAGGATAAGCAAAGGCGATTTGAGTTTAAAATCCAACAAATCCTACACATTCATACATATTGAACATTCCTCTTTGCATGGCAGGCGTACTGTGCAGTGTCAAACAAGAAACATTTACCTTTTTATGCAAATTGTGTGAATGGCCGTTGCTACCGGTAGGCCAGGACAAACTTGCTCTTTTAGTGAACATCTGTTATAATTACTGATTTACAGTAAACGATTATATATATTTCATTGTCACCACTATTTTGCCTTTTACGCCCCATGGAATCAGTTTTGGCGGATTATTGAGACTGGATATTCTCTGGCGTTGACGTTCAATATTTTTCAAGAACATTTTAGATTGATATCTTGACAGGACCTTTTCACTCGGGATTTGATTGGTTGTATCGCTTCGCTACAACGGGGAAAAAGCTGACTGTGGTGCAAAACAACATTTAACCAATCG